GCTTGATCCGTTTGTGATCACTACCCAGGCTTCTGACCCCAAGTTCATCTATGTTCATTACCTTTAGCCTATCATACATCCTATGCGACATTAGTGAATAATCTATCGTCGAATGCAAACTCCCTACCTCCCAAGTTATGAGCCCTTCACACTTCTCGGTACTGTTGCATAAAACCAAGTCATGTCTTTCACACATATCTAGCAGCATGTTACCTGTCGAATCCGTGTACCCGTCCATATCTTCAATGTGTGCATTCATGTCTCCTAGTATAATAATCTCACACCCCCTCCCTAGTTCATTAATGTCACTTGCCATACATTCTATAATTCTTTTGTTTTCCTCTTTGGCATCTGCTCCTGTCCACAAATACACAAAGCCAAGTAGTGTTTGCTCCCCCGCCACTTTTCCTTTTAACCATAAATGTTCCACACAATCCTGTTTGACCCTTTGCCAATCCGTGCTTTTATGAATGAATGCCCCAATTCCACCTCCTTTTCTGTAGCCTGCTGTTCTATTGCAATATTCCCACGCATAGTCTGGGTTACAGGGTGGTTGCTCTGTGTCCCTAAGATGCGTCTCCACAAACCCATATACCATTAAATTCTCCTGTCTCAGCTGCTCTTCTATTTCCTCCCATTTCAGCCTATTCCTGCCACCTTGCATGTTAATATACCCTATGTCTGAAAAAACTTTCCGCTGGCATTTATGTCTATTACTTCTACGGCCTCTACGCTTCTTTGCCATTGGTTCCTCTTCCGGTTCACCTTCGCCTACTCCGGAGCCCTCAGGGCCCTGGGTCCCCCTAAAAAAGCTGTTGCCTGGCAACCTATCCTACTGCCTACCCTCCTGCCCGTGGCACCACTGTAGTGGATGCCATCCTGTGCAAAAGGGTGGGAGCCAGCCTCGTACACGTCCCTGTTCACCTCCATTACGCCGTACCCAAGTCGTCGGCTCATACCCCTAATGACCCGGTTAGCTTCAACTACTCTCCTTTCCATCCCGCTAGACTGTCCCTGGACCTCTGGGATTGTGCATATGGTCACATGCACTTTCTCAGAGGCCTCCCTAAGCTTACGCAACCCCACCTCCAGCTGTCTCTCAAGGTTCTGGCTTCTTCCCTTCAGCACATCGTTGAGACCAGCATGGATAACGACTAGGTTCTCGTTTTCCATGTTGTCCCATACTACCTCCCGGGCTTTGGCCATTGCATCTACTATGCACTTACCTGACTGGGCCTCCACCTTCACCCGCCTGTCTGCCCTCACCTTTGCCAACACGCCCTCCTCGACCCTCGCTATGTTGGAATCTCCCACCACCAGCACCCTCCTGCGCTCGAACCGTTCGTCCCCAGCCCGCGACTGCTGCCCTCCGGATTGCGGCACCTGGCCCGCCTGCCGCTGCGGTGCTCCTGCCCGCCGTACGGGACTGCCGCTTGTCACCCGGTCCGTCGCCGCCTCTGCCTCATCCGGAACCTGCTGTGCTACAGCGCTGTAGGTTCGTGGTGCCTCCGTGCTATCGCTAGCTCCCGCCGCCTCTTCCCGAGCACCCACGCCAGCCTCGCCCTCCACATGACGCTGGCCCGACACGGGTTCACCCTCCGCCCGCGCCAAGAGCTCCACCCGCTCTTCCAGCCTGGCCCGCTTTTCCCGCTCCTCCTGAAGCTCGCCGGCCAACCGCTCCACCAGGCCTGCGCTGCCCGCCTCCCTCCTCAGCAGCTCGCCGACCTGGGTCTCCAGCTCCGCACGCTTCTGACGCTCCAACTGCAGCTCCCGCCTGAGCTCCTCAACGCCAGCTGCCCGTTCCCCCTCCATCCTCCGAACGGCCTCGTCCAGAATTGCGCACATCCGGCACGTGAAGCTCCGGGCCTCCTCGGCGTCTGCCAGGCTCTCGAAGTCCGTTTCATCTAAAAAACACCAGCGAAAGCACCTTTCGCATTGTACATGTTCGGCGTCGCCCTTCGGTTTCCTTGCCTGTCGACCCATCTAGCTCCTAGCTAAAAAGCCCGCCAAAACCACCGCCAAAAATCCGGAAACAATGACCACTCTAGCCTAACTTACTGGTGGCTGCCTGCGGCACAAGCCGCTTAAACTAGCCTAACTACTTACCCTAGCGTTAACTAACTTTACGGTAACTATCCCATACAGACACTACTCCATGCACTTTAGGTCCAACTCACAAAAAACCCGTATCAACCGAAAAGAAAAAGCCCGCCAAAAATTCGGAAACAATGACCACTCTAGCCTAACTTACTGGTGGCTGCCTGCTGCACAAGCCGCTTAAACTAGCCTGACTACTTACCCTAGCGTTAAGTATACTCTACGGTAACTATCCCATACAGACACTACTCCACGCACTTTAGGACCAACTCACAAAAAACCCGTATCAACCGAAAAAAAAAAGCCCGCCAAAAATCCGGAAAAAATGACCACTCTAGCCTAACTTACTGGTGGCTGCCCGCGGCACAAGCCGCTTAAACTAGCCTAACTACTTACCCTAGCGTTAACTAACTTTACGGTAACTATCCCATGCACTCTAAAACTAATTTACGGAAAAAAAACACCAAATGGCACTTAGCTCAAAGCCGTCGAAGAGACCCGTGGAAGAGAGGTTCAGGAACACGTCCGTACCGTTCAGCCGCGCCACACCAAGGTCTCTCTGCTTGACCCCGCCATCTGGTGGCTAGCGATTTAACCTTTCACGCTACGGGATAAACAGCGGCTTCGAGTTTGTTCTTTCGAGAGCGGCTTTTGGTTTTGCGGATTGAGTTTGCTCTTCTCTGTGATGTGCGGTTGACGAAGGAATTGTGACTCGAGGAACACCAAAGGTAAGACTCAAAGTGCGCGAAGTAACTGGGTATCGGTTGTCTCCGTTTAACATCGCAGTGCTGTCGACGAGAAGACTGAGTAACTGCTTTCGAAACGCAAGTTTCTGTACCTGTGGGAGGAATCTGGCTTAGGAAATAAACACAGTTTGCGGAAAGCTCGTGTGACGCTTTTATTTGCTGCTGCTCTCGTCCCGTACAAGAGACGTAGCGTCCTGGTTAAGCCTTATTGGGCTCGATTTGCTCGATTCGGGGCCGCCATATTGAGATGCAAGCGACAGAGGAACGTTGCTCCCCTGCTTCAGGGACGAACGTTTCTCCCTTTCTAAAGGAACATAGGTTACAAGACCGTTCCTCCCCTAAGGGAGGACTATCCATACCCTTTTTTCTAAGAGTGTAGTGGCGCCATTCATTGTCATGGAAATGCTCGAGACACGTGGCGCGCGCCACTTCTGGGAAGAACATGGCGTCTGAAATCTAGCTCAGTGCTGCGTTGTGCCGCCATGATCTTCCCAAAGGCCGCACTTTGATCGTGCCTCGTGCATCGACGCACCTTGCGCTACTTTTAAAACATGAAGGGGCTTTAGGTACCGGTGCCATCGGCGTCATGAACAAGTGGCATGCTATTGATTTTCTGTTCGACCCACCTTCTCTTATAGCCACCATAGCCATATTTTTATGTTCTCGGCTGCAGGAATTTTCCTCTTTTTCTGTGTTGCTATTTTGCTGAAGTCTGCGGCTGCTGAGCGCGTGCTGAGCCGAGCTTCCACGGATGTTTTGCAACGGGCATTACCCACCATGATTGTGGAGCTTAGCAGCATAAACATACGAGCTTATTATGAGCATGCGCATGAACAGCGCTTTTAGATGTCGTCTTTCCATCGCAAATAATACCCGCGCAAGCATAACAAATATTATGCTTGCTGCCGAAATCACGCAGGAAAGGTATTTGGCACTTTTTCCTTTTCTTTTTTTTCCCTTCAAATAGTGCAGAATTGAAAAAAAAAAAAAAAGAACTTGCGTTAGGGTTTTTATAGCTCTGGATTGTGAAGTCGGTGCAGATATGAGGGATCGATGTGCCCAGTGCCCTTCGGCGACTCAATTTCTGTTTGAAGCTATGTACAAGGATTACATTTCTCGTCCCGCAGCGCCCACTACAAATTTTGTAATCAAAATTTCACACCACGGCTATACCTAATAAGGTTGACCGTCCATTCTCCAACTATATTAAACCCCTGTGACTGAATGTTTAAAAGAAAATGATAAAAGTTAGTCAAAACATTTTTGTTGTGTTCAGCTGCATACGTATATTCATTCGAGCAACCCTGTGCGTGAGAGCACATGGGTCTAAGCAACGTTACTAAAACACTCAGTTGGGAAACTCGCCGTCAAAACCTGGGCCGCTGGCGTCCACAGAGACCGAGCTAAATGCGACAACAGCGCCACTCTTTATCGTTTGTCTGTACTGTGGTCACCTTGAGCTTTTTGAAAGCCTGTTTTTGCGTAAAAACAAACGGAAAAGACTCTTTTTGTATGAAATATATTGGAGTTTAGTACAAAAAGAGGGGCGCGTTATGTTTTTAAAATCTTTAGTTTGCAGGGCTTTGCGGCACAATTAATATTGTTTTTATACAACCATGCCTCAGCGGGGCTTTCAGGTAGCGCGTCCCGACCTAGGTGCATTTTAACTTCGGTAGTTCGATGCGGCGCGTCCGCCGGGGAGACGGGGGTGGCACCCCTGTAACCTCTTCTGCTGTATCTGTTCTTAAAGCCAAAATAGAAGTCACGTGCAGTTCCTCGCGTGGCCGCTGCGGGAGAAATGGTGGCGTTGTGTTCGTCATTAGCTCGGTGCTCGGAGACAGATTGGGAACACTTTTTCAAAGCTGTCTCTATGGGAGTTTCCCAACTGAGTGTTTTAGTAACGTTGGGTCTAAGCAAGACCGCCATGACCAGGACGTTGCCGCGATTGTAACCGGACTCCCATTGTATGCCGAAATGCGGCTCCTTAGTATGTAATTAAAAGTGTTATACCAAGACACGACAAATGGGCAACGAGGACGGGATAAGTATGTTCCGTCCATGGGGACATTGCCCCCTTCTCAGCGGTCGGCGGAATCGAAGAAGAGCGCCCGTGAAAACGAGGCTTAGCGGACGGCAGGAATCCGCGCCAAAACCACGATGGCAGCACCGGTACCGGTGCCACTCATCGGTAAGCTCGACAGCTTTGATGAATCGGCGGAGGATTGGACCTCCTACATCGAACGAGCAGATGAGTACCTCGTGCTGAATGGCCTACCGGACGAAAAGAAGGACGCAGCCATCATAACAAGTATGGGAGCCAAAACCTACTCCATCCTAAGGAAACTAACGACGCCAAGCAAACCGTCTGAGAAAACTTATGAAGAGATCAAGAAGCACCTGAGACTACTTTTCGCCTGCGCCGCTGGAAATGTCCGAGCGTCACCGATTTTACAAAAGACTGCAGAAAGTGGGAAACTGCTAACGAGTACATGGCTGAACTTCGGCGTCTCTCTCAAAACCGCAACTTTGGATCCTTTTTGGATCAGGCCCTGCGAGACAAGTTTGTATGCGGCCTTCGCTCCGTGCAAGTCCAGCAGCGCCTGCTGACGATGAAGAAGTTTACCTTGAAGCACGCACTCGACGAGGCTGTAGCTCACGAACTTGCTGCGAAGGACATCGCAGAGTTTAAAAACAAAGAAGAAACTCCGACCGCCACGGTGGCGCAGGTGGCGCACGTTGACAATGACAAGCAAAAGTGCTTCAGGTGCAATCGGAAAGGCCACGCTCCAGCGAAGTGCAGATTTTTGGAAGCTGTTTGCCACAAGTGCAACAAAGTGGGTCACATCAGTCCAGCCTGTAGAAGCAAGGCAAATGACGCCACCAAGACTTCGCACAGGCCAAATTCGACATCAAAGAAAGCAAGTCAACGACCTTTAAAGAGCCAAGTTCATGTCGCACGAGACGAAGATAGTGCTGAGTTCGAATTCCTGGCACACATCGACAATGGGAGCAGGAGTAACCCTATCTGGCTCAAACCAAGAGTTGAAGGGCAGACTCTGGAAATGGAAATGGACACAGGCTCCAAATACTCCCTTCTACCAAAAGCTCTCTACGAGAAGCATCTCTTGCACGTGCCACTGCAAGCAACACCAGTGCTGTTCAAAACCCTGACCGGAGAAACCTTCAGTCCAGAAGGTGTGGCCACAACTGAAGTGACATTTGGGAAGTCAACAGGCCAGCTGCAACTATATGTGGTGGACACCCCAGGACCTCCACTCTTCGGGAGAGACTGGATTAACCATTTCAACCTCCTGGAGCTTAGCAATGTGCTGAAGGTTGACAGCCAACTTGGACTGATGTGGCAGGACCAGCTGGATAAGAGACTTGCGGAGTTCAAGGACGTCTTCGATGACAGCATCGGGAAGCTCAAGGACTTCAAATTGAAGCTGCACCTGAAGAGCGATGCTCACCCGAAGTTCTGTCGTCCACGTCAGGTCCCATATGCCTTGAAAGAAAAAGTAACAATCGAACTGGACCGTCTGGAGTCGGAGGGCGTCCTGACAAGGGTCAACCACAGTGATTGGGCCACACCCATCGTACCAGTCGTGAAGTCGAATGGAACTGTCCGTATTTGCGGCGACTTCAGAAGCACAATCAATCCCCACCTTGCAGTGGACCAGTATCCACTACCTCGCATTGAAGACATCTTCGCAAAGTTGTCTGGTGGAAGGAAATTCTCCAAGATTGATCTGCGACAAGCTTACCTTCAGATGGAAGTCAACGAGGAGTCTAAGCCACTGCTACCTATAAACACTGAGAAAGGACTGTACCGTTACAACAGAATGATTTTCGGTATATCACCGGCTCCAGCTGTCTGGCAACGAACGATTGACCAGATTCTTCAAGGAATTCCAATGTGTCATGCAACCCAAGATGACATTTTGGTTACTGGTGTGTCGGAAGACTCGCATCTGCACAACCTTACTGAGGTACTGAGGCGACTGCACGAGTATGGACTGAAGGCCAAACTGCAGAAGTGCTCCTCTTTCAAGGACTCTGTGACTTACTGCGGTTACAAACTCGACGGAACGGGTCTGCACAAGACTCATGACAAGATCAGGGCCGTAGTGGAAGCTCCGACGCCCAAGTCCACAACTGAACTGCGGTCGTTTTTCGGCCTTATAAACTACTATGGGAAGTTCATCCCCGACTGTGCGAACCTTCTACGCCCACTACATGCACTCCTAGAGAAGTCATCCACCTGGAAATGGACCAAGGAGTGTGACAAGGCATTCAAGCAAGCCAAGGAGATAATCGCGTCTGACACAGTGCTTGTCTACTATGACCCCAACCTGGAAGTGCGTCTTGCATGTGATGCTGGACCCCATGGACTGGGAGCAGTTCTCGCACACGTGATGCCTGATGGAAGCGAAAGACCCATCGCATTCGCTTCACGGACACTAAAGCCATCAGAAAGGAACTACTCACAAATAGACAAAGAGGCTCTAGCCATTGTCTAGGGAATTCAAAAGTTCCATGTGTACCTGTATGGAAGACACTTCAAACTGATCACTGATCATCAACCACTCACACGAATCTTCAGCCCAAGCAGCAGCATACCTGCAATACAGGCAGCCCGCATTCAGAGATATGCACTTTTCCTGGCTGGATTCAACTACGAGATTGAGTATCGGAAGTCAGAAGAAAATGCCAACGCAGACAGCATGTCCAGACTTCCTCTGCCCGAGGTTCCAGTGGACAAGCCAGACGAAGCAGAACTTTTCCACATGACTCAGATTGAACAACTTCCTGTCACTGCTCAGCAAGTACGACTGAATAGCCAACGGGACCGAGTGCTGTCTAGAGTACATTTCCTTATCCTCAATGGATGGGACACATGCAGTCAGGATGATGAGATCTCGCCTTACTACCGACGAAGAGATGAACTCTCGACTCACCAAGGGGTGATCACATGGGGCATTAGAACTGTCATACCGACGAAACTGGAAGAGAAAATTCTCACCGAACTTCACAGCGGCCACATTGGTATCGTGCGGATGAAAATGCTTGGCCGCTCGTATGTCTGGTGGCCCACTCTTGACAAGGACATTGAAGAGCAAGGAAAGAAGTGTGGGCAGCTGCCGTGCCCAACAGAACCTTCCGGCGAAGGCATCACCTCACCCGTGGGAACTTCCAAGTGGGCCTTGGAAGAGAATCCACGTCGACTTTGCTGGACCATTCATGAACAAAATGTTCCTAGTCGTCATGGACGCTTACTCGCGGTGGCCGGATGTAGTGATCATGAACAGCCCAACCGCCACACATACCATAGAAGTTCTCCGTGCGATCTTCTCCAGAAACGGGCTACCCACCAGAGTTGTCAGCGACAACGGACCTCAATTTGCATCGAAGGAGTTTGCGGAGTTCCTCAAGGCAAATGGTGTGCAACACACATTTTCAGCTCCTTACCACCCAGCAACGAATGGGTCTGCGGAAAGATTGGTTCAGACACTGAAAAACAGCTTGAAGTCCATGAAGGAAGAGGGAAGTCTATACAAGTGTGTGGCAACATTTTTGCTCAAGTATCGCACGACACCTCACACAGTCACTGGGGAAACCCCTGCAAAACTGTTCATGGGACGGGAACTTCGCACTCGTCTGTCACTACTTCAAAGTGACCCAGTGCAGAGGCAACTTCAAGGCCAGGAGAGGACACTGTTGAACTGCCGACGACGAACCCATTCATTTCGACAGGGAGACTTAGTCTCCGTAAGAGATTACAGAGGAAATCAAGAGTGGATCGGATGAAAAATCAAATGTCGTGACGGGCCAGTATCCTACGAAGTGCAGGTTGGTGATGCGGTATGGCGCCGACATATTGACCAGCTTCGCGATTCAAGAGTTATTGAATCCACACCACATCCAAAACCCTTGGAAAATCAGCCTACTCGACATGAACCACAACTGAACCCAGTATCTCCAGAGAGGCCGGAAGTGCCAGGACATGAAGAGACTTCACAGGCAACCAACCACGAGAAGCGTCGTCCATCCAGCGGATGCGTCAACACCGGCCAGACTTAATGTCGTGCCCGACAAGTCGTCGCCAACCGTGTGGGCGACACCCAAGATTCGACCCCAGCGTGTTCGACGCCCACCCATTAAGTTGGACTTGTATTTTAAGAAGGGAGGAGTTGTTGTGCTCAGCTGCATACGTATATTCATTCGAACAACCCTGTGCGTGAGAGCACATCGGTCTAAGCAAGACCGCCATGACCAGGACGCTGCCGCGATTGTAACCGGACTCCCATTGTATGCCGAAATGCGGCTCCTTAGTATATAATTAAAAGTGTTATACGAAGTCACGACAATTTTGGTTTTAGTTTATTGTCCAATTTTTCCTCTTTTCTAGCGGCGCCCATGGCCTCCAACCCCAACCTTGGCTAAAAAAAAAAAAAAAAAAAAGCAACCCTACCCCAAGTTTCTTTTTTTTTTTTTAATTTTTATTCTGGGCCGTCTAAGAACAGCCTGTGTGGACCTTTCCAATAATCGCCTTCTGTGGGCGGCCATCTTTGTCTACATGGCCGTGGAAGGCGTACTGAGCGTGCGCAGTGGCTCTCTTCCACGAAATGCGAGACGCTGCGCATGCGTCCGCAGACCAGTGACACATCATTTTTCGCCTGGGTGATAAGCGCTGCGAAGGTCTATAAAGCGACAGTGGCAATTAGCATTTTTAGCCTCTATAGACTTTCAGAAAAGCCGAGCGCCATAGGGTTTGCCTGCGACAGTCGTTTAACGCGCGCCCGCCTTTGTTAACGGATGACGTTTTTCAGCCGTATCCGACCGCTGCCAACGGTAATCAAGCGCCCGGCCGCCACGCGGTGTGCGTTCGTTTTTCTGCGTGCACGTATTTTCTGGCGGAAAAAAGTGACGTCTTTTACTCGCTTCCGGAGGTTCTTTAGGAATGTGCAGTTGTCCACGAAGACCGCTTACAATTGACTCCGTAAGTGTGACGTCATGGGTCCAAACAAACCGTTGCTAGGGTCGTTGTTATGGGCAAATATATGTCGCTATAGTCAGTTACAGGTTAAGAAGGTAGCGGCAAATGCCCCTCAAAGGGAATCGGATATCCCTCCGCCACCTCCGCATCCAATAGCGTCCCACCGTTTCCGTGACGTCGCGGCCAACGCGCGAGGAGGGTCTTGCCTTTCTGTACATATTTGCTTTACCTATTGACTTTGACTTAGCATTGTGGAAGCCACGAGAGGGAGATTAGAGTTCTCCCCCACCGACGGAAACAAATACGACTTTCGGGGATTAGCTTCCCCCCCGATGGATACAAAGGCTGCTTTTAGGGGCTCGGTTCCCTCTCCGATGAATACAAAGGTCGCTTTCATAAAAAGTGGGATCGGAGACAAGTGGGAATCCATAGAAGCGGAACAAGGAGCGTTTCCAGTGAACTCTTCTTTCGACTGCGGAGAGATTTGAAACGGGCGCATCACACTTGTGGGAGGAGCTTCTCCTACCTTCTTGACTTGTAACCGACTATAGGTTTCGCTACGAAAACCCGACCGTTCAATAATCGGGAGTAGGATTTAAACTTCTAAAAATCACAGATATAGAAAGCTTGAATGTCATATATGTTGCGACAGAAGTGTGCCGGTAATCGCTTGTTTCTGAAATATTTACGACTGCAACTTCCGGTCCTCAAGATGCCTGCAGCAGGCGACGAATGCAAGAAGAATGCCGTCTGCCACACGCCCGCCGGCCAAGCCGGCGCCGGCGTCTGAATCGGGTGAATAAAGACGATATTCTGATATTGCATTTGTTTGAAATAAAATGAGTTTCAGACACTTATAAGAATTCATAGTGTGGTGCGATGCAAAATATGGTTTATCGAAAGTCCGGGCGTCGATCGAGATGATCGTCTGCTAAAAGATCGCAATGCACCCGTGAGAAAAGCACTTCAGGCGATCGGTAGAGATCCCAATTTTTTTTTTGCGGACTCGCGCTATGGAAGGGTTCTTCGTATCTGATTGTAACCATCGCGTGGAGAAAGATTCTTGCAGTTTCTTCAGATTTCCGCAAAACCCCAAAACGCGAAAGAACTGGATAAAAAACTTAAGGTGAGTTTATTACAGATTGTACTCTCATCCCGGGTTCGATGGAGATCTTCACCGAAAGAGCACATCCACTAAATTTAATGTATACAAAAAAAAAAATGCGAAATTGCGATAGACATGCAATGTTTTCATAACCTGACAACCTCAATAATAATAATAAACGACTTATCTCGACGGCGTACGATTTGTTTCTCATGCTGGCCTGCGCTACGCCGGTAATAACTGATCTGCATGACGTGGTTTGATTTTACGGCATTTTCATCCCTCTGAACTAAGCTGGGTTCTTCACAGAAAAAGAACGTTTATGGCGGAGGCCTGTACGGCCATGGCGATGCACTTGCTTTTGCCGCTCGTTTAGGGGGTGTCCAAACAGGACACTACAAAACGCACGACTTCGACAAATCGTGAAAATGGAAGCGGGCGCGTCCGCTTCAATTTTCACGATTTGTCGGAGTCGTGCGTTTTGTGGTGTCCTGTTTGGACACCCCTTTACCGACGCAATTCAGTGATGACGCCCGCTGCAACAAAGGCCAGCAAATCTATCAAGTCGTGTGCTACCAAAGCAAAGCGGAGTGTAATACTTGAGATGGCTTTCATCGTTGCAATAAGCCACTGAGGCGACAAGAACATCTTCATAATTAGATATCAAGAAGTTAGGTTGCTTACAAAAAATTAGTTACTTACTTATAAGCGAAAATCTAGCCTCGTGTGGAGTCTCCCAGCATTAGTCCATAACAACGCCCCTAGCAACGGTTTGTTTGGACCCAGACGCCAAGTTGTGACGTCATCACTTACGGGGTCAATTGAAGGCAGTCAAACTTTAGCCTTATGACGAGCAACTTAGGATCGCTCTAAAGTGGCTAAATATCACTTCCTTCTGCAAAAAAAAAAAAACACGCACGCGGAAAATATGAATTTTTTTTTTTTTTTTTAATCTGGAACGCTAAAAAAAAAAAGAAAAAAAAAAAGTCACAGAAGACTTGCACGCGAGGGAGATCCGTGTCTGTCTGAGCATCACTCTCTACTTTCCAAACGTTTGAGGACCAAGGGACGTTTCTTCGCTCCCACATCAGCTCCGGCTAGGAGTGCAGTAGGTGACATGACTCGACAGGCTTGGCTATGTTCAAAATTTTACTCGAATGTATTCGAGTTACTCTGGCGGATCATGTCACTTGACAACGCGGATAGAGCGACCCCGGACGCGGCTAGGTTTTCGAACTCCAAGGCACAGTACCCTCACCCTCGAGTGAGATCGAGTAAATTTTGGAACACGGCCAATGGAACATTCCGCAGGTCGAGTAAATTTTGGAACACGGCCAATGGAACATTCCGCAGATCGAGTGCTAACGTCAGTATGAGATCCTGGAGATCGAGTGCTGACGTCAGTATACCACACTCAGAGACGGCTTTGAGTATGGCGTCTGGAGCGCGTCCCCGCGACTGGTGGGTTTACCGCGTTCTCAAATGTGTTCCTCCGATTTCCGCCTAATGACGTCATAATAGTGCGTTGCCGGTCGCGATCCTCGCAGTGTCAGAGCAGCGGAGGCGAGTGCGACGCAATCACCTGGGGACCAGACGCCTTCCAGTCACCGTCGTTGTATGAGTCACGAAAGCTCGGACCAACTTTCCTTCACCCTCCGCGCACCGCCGGGTATCAGCCAGCCATTCATGGTTCCGCTTGCGAGCCTACGAACTCCGCCTTTTATCACGTGACTTTTGTTCGGACGCGCATGAATCACGTCGGCGCCGCTTTCCCGACAAGATTATGCATTCCACGGGGAGGAGATAAACGATAGCAATAGGTAGCATGACCTAGCCAATTGGCTACGCCACTGCTACCTATGGCTATCGTTTATCTCCGACTGCTCATGGGGCCTCAGCCCCCCCCCCCCCCCCCCACCCCTCCCAACCCGACAACCACATTTAGCGCAGGATAGCGTTAAGTTCAGCGCTTGCGTTAGCTCACGTTACGCAAGAGAGATTTAGAATTGCGTTTCTTCGACGCGACGCAAAAACTCGAGCATCGCACGCTTGTAACGACTCAAAGATATAATAAGAATTTTTATTTCACACGTGAAATGCTGTAACTTAAAAAATAGAAAAAAAAAAAAAAACGATACCGAAAATGCTGTTGTCACTACGCTGACCCTCGACGAAGTCGGTTAGCATTTCGCGCAACGGTTCTGACCCGGCGAAGGATGGGTATTCAAACCTCACAACGATCCGCATACCGTTGCGTTCGGAGAAGCCAGTCCGTCCTCCCGGGCGTCGGCGGTTTCGGATGCAGCCACCACAGCTTCCCTCCATCGACGCCTACGGTCCGGATACTGTTGTCTTCGAAGAGCCAATCTTCTCCCGCGGGTGTGGGCCGTTTCGCGCAAATGTTGTCGTCGCTGCGTACTCTAGGGAGTTTTCGTAAACCGCGTTTCCCCCTCCGCTAAGCCCTCCGCTACGAAGAAGCCGCTACTGCGCCTGCACGCCGATGGCCTTGACTGTGGAGTTCCGGGTACCGTAGCGGGTTGCGAAGAGCGTTGCGGGACGGCGAAAACGATCTACGAAAACTCTCACCACCACGATCGTTGAGACCCCCTCCTCTCCATGCTCCCGCGACGTGTGATTGGAAGCGTGCCAGAAGTCTCTTTCCCTCTCGTAAGAGGAAAAGCGAACGTAAAGCGCCGTTCACACTCTTGCAACTGAGTACGACCGAGAGAGATCAGACCGGTTTGTAAGCCTCTTGCGACGTCTTAGGACCGGATGCGATGCAGTGGAGCTGGTCCTAAGACGTCGCAAGAGGCTTAAAAACCGGTCTGGTCTCTCTCGGTCTTACTCGGTCGCAAGCGTGTGAACGGGCCTTTAAGCGCCGTTCACACTCTTGCGATCGAGTAAGACCGAGAGAGACCAGACCGGTTTTTAAGCCTCTTGCGACTTCTTAGGACCAGCTCCGCTGCAGCGGAGCTGGTCCTAAGAGATCGGAAGAGGCTTAAAAGCCGGTCTGGTCTCTCTCAGTCGTACTCGGTTGCAACAGTGTGAACGGGCCTTAAGACCGAGAGACACCAGACTAGTTTTTAAGCCTTTTGCGACTTCTTAGGGCCGGATACGCTGCAGCGGAGCTGGTCCTAAGAGATCAAAACAGGTCTGGTCTCTCTCGGTCTTACTCGGTCGCAAGAGTGTGAACGGGCCCACTGAAAGAGCACGGCGAGGTAACCGCGCCGCTGCGTCACGAAACCAGTCCTGTCCAAACCTGTCCAAACCAAGCCATGACCGATTGATTATCGAGCGATTGCATGCCATACGTGCAGATGCGGAAGGTGGCTGCAATGTCGTTTTGCATGTATCGCGTCTATAAGCGGCTCGTAAAGCTGTCGGCGTTCGCAACATTCTCCCAACTTTAGCGCGCTCTTCCATAACCAGACGCTGTCGTTTATCCCAGGCCCACTTCAAACCGTTATTTTCGAGCCGGGGAACGTGCCCGCGTTTTATCCGTCTCCTAGTAACGCAGTACAGCAAACGACGAACGCACAAACAAAAACAAAAAAAGGACCATACACACACTGGTCCTCGATAGCGAGCAGGGTGAAAAGGTGAGTGCCTGTTATCTCGAACGCTCCTCCAGTTGGCATTCCTTCGTGTGTGACATCGGTCGACATCTCCGCTCAACGCCGACGCTTTCCCGTTGAGTCAGCGCCGTGCAATTTCGAATTGTTGTGGGCTGCGACGGTCCTCGCACGCCACGCCATTTGGAGACCGATCAAGCTGGATCCTTCTCTTCGGCTTACCGACATGCATCCACGTGTAGTTCAGTGACATATTTCATAACGGTGAGTCCTTGTCGCCATTACTTCCCCGCGTTTAAAGCATTGGGCGACCAGTTGTGAAAGAAAGATTACTTCTCAAACGATGACTTGTTTCTAGACAGCGTGGAGGTCCGTGTCTACTGTCAGCAGTTCTAATTGCGCGCATGTCACAAAGGGTCGCAGCAACGGTGTGCAATTCAATTCAAATAAAATAAAATAAAACTGTTTTATTTAGACAAACGTCCACGAGGAGGGGGCTAAAGTCGACTCGGGTGGCCCAACCCCATCCCCGTCAAAACAGTCCAGCAGCAGGGTAACACAAAATATAAAATTCAAACGTCACTGCATAGCAACATATATGTAACTGACATGAAAAATGTTGACGAACAAGATAAAAATACTTTATAGCGCGAAAACAGTTTAACACGCCAGCGTTAGTTTCATATTTATGCTAAAACTAAGAGATGATGTCCCGAAAGGTTTTACATTTGTATACTCTGTTAAAGTTTTCATCGTTGACTTAATTTCCGGGTCGATATTTATTAGCTTTGAAATTGGATTTTACATCAGTTCACCCGTGCTTTCGAAGGAAGGTAATTGGAAGTATGATTTTAATTTGTGAAAATTGTAGATTGCCAATTTTAGCGTGGGCGATTGTTCTACTGTAGGAAGATACTGAGAATCGGTTGAAGACAGCGTGCGTAGCGCCACCACCATTCACCGTTTCATCATAACTTCGCAAACGGCGGTGGGAAGTCCTTTTAAATGTCCACATTGTTGAACTTGTACACCGATCTACTGTCGAGTTCGGTTATAACGAAGTCAGTGGGAATCGGAAATCACTTCGATATATCCGCTATTTCGTTATAACCGACTTCGTTATAGTCAGTCTCGACAGTACAAGTAAGAACGGGAGGGACCGTGGATTCGAGGAGCGGCACTACGAAAAGCACAAACGTCCTATATACGTCATCCGTCGGAAGCTGAACGCCGTGACTCACTGCCCTCCGAGGTCTAAGAAGGAGAGATCAAAGATACCAAGTGAAGCATGTTTGCACGAGCTCGGCAGCAACATGTAGAAGGTCACATGACGCCAGTAAAATCGATATCCTTTACTTTTTTTTTCTTCCAGAGCGTGCACCTTCTGTTTTTCTCTTTACCTGAAAAAAAAAAAAAAAAGATATGAAAGAAAAAAAGAAGTGCCTAGTTAGGATATTCTGGCAAGGATATATAAACAGGGACACATTTGGGTTAATTTTATTCGAAAGGAAAAAAAAAAAGAAATCGCATTTTTTGATTGCTTGTTGCTGCTAGTAAAGGACAAATACGAACACCAAGGAAAGAATGAAATATTTAAGAGGGGACAAAACCAGCCATACACAAATAATTGTGTATGTCTGTGTTCGTTCCCCCTTCAATAATTTATTCTTTCTTTCTTTGTGTATTGTCTACAACGCACTCCCTGCATCAACCTAACAAGTATGACATGTGAATTACTGACAAACTACTTTCAGTTATTGGAACTTGAGTTTATGACAGTAATTTGTCTACTAATCATTAGTCCTGTAATAAAAGATTTTTGTAGCTACTCCATCGGTGTGTTTTAGTACAAAACAGTTTATTGAAACATTTAGGCGTTTTAACATTTTTAGTATTGAAATGTGGGATATTTTCACGATATACTAATCCACAATTCTCTTTTTACCAATTGTCTTTTGATATGACGAGATTCATCCAGTGGATTGGGCATTTTCTCGTGTTTTACAGGTCATATAACTCTGACATGGCGTTCTAATTCAGTAAAAATACACGACTTTCTTTAGGGATTAATACGACACAAACAAAAAGAACTGACATTCATAAATCCAAGTGCAACAAAAAAGCATCGATATGCTCTTTCGGTGTTTTCATCTCAACAAAATGACGAATGTGCAACACCATTTGTACTTCTAGTATGTAAAAATATATTAAAAGCATACGAGTTATATAAAAAATCGGTTCAAATAGGTAAAAAAATAAAACAAAAAAATCAGTTTCGAAGATAAAAAGCACAGTTAACAGAGCGCGTATCTATCAGTCATATGCGTGGCACGTTGGGAAGCCCTCACTAAAATACCGTCTTTACTGAAAAAGCGGCAGCATTTGAATAATATATTATACCATTTAAAGCCAGAGAGCTTGGGTCTTTAGAACGCATATAGTATGTCTCATATTGAACGTTACAAACTTCGAAGCTAACTTGAGGAAGCCGTGCACTATAGTTTCCTTCACACATTGAGGACCTCGGCATGGAGTCTCTTTTTCTTTTTTTTTTTTTTATTTCACGGTCAACCAATCGGTGTGGTCAAGTTACCGCCGTGGTCACGTTCGGACCTCAAGTAAAATGGTTTTTACAAGCACTAAGGCTAGCAGAGATAATCTAAACGTCAAAGACTGATAGCAGACGTTTCTCGAAGAGACTATTTCTCTTGGCGAGACGTGAAGTGTCTAAGTTTCTTTTCTCTTTCATCCTTACAAGCCCAGACTACCTTTGTGCTTTTTATATCATCTAGATGTTCCAAATTTTTATTGACAATAGAAAAACGCTATTAAACCGGACCGAGGTATTCTTCACAGACATGCGACGCGCTGTTTGTAGTACAACGTTTATCGCGCCACTTCCACTCGTTGTGAATCGCCGATAATCTGAAAATTCTTGCCGGGCGACGTGTAACGATACCTTGAATCATCCGCCTTCTCTCACTCCCGGAAGAACGGCACGCAACGGAGACCAACCCCACACCGACCAATCCGCACTTCAACGATCGCGACTGACGTGCGAGCACGTCCGGCGACCTCTGAGCCCATAACTAATTTCCCATCACTCTGCGTGCTAACAATATATACTGCACGAAGATAGCATCCCGCGCCAACAATATTTATTTCCACGAGGTAGCTGTTTCTTACACTTTCACCACGTTAACGCCCTTGTGAACCTGCCAGTAACTCACGTCATCTATATGGTAAACCTTCGTCTCCTGAGGCCCGTTTTATACCGTGAGATATAACTAATACGTGTAGCAGAACAAAGACCTAATCATTTCGGTTTCTTTAATCCGGTTTCTCACCAATGTCTTCACTCAATGACGCGTTTAAGGGAAATAATGTTACTTCGACTGTGTTTTTAGAATAAGCTTAACTTCTGATTTGCTTAACTTCTGATTTGTTCAGCTGGACGTGAAAGGGAGTGTGGCGCGATAAACCGTCGTCTGCTAAGGCGAGCTCGACATCAATTCCGGCGCCATTTTGCCTTCGCCAGGTTCGCGAACTACAAACAAGACAGGTGTACTTCGGCACCGAGGCAGCCGGCCGTTATCGGTGAACTTCGCGTGCTGTGATAACGAAAACGTCCGTTGGACGTGGTCTCCTACGCTTGCGGACAAGACCGAGCCCGCCAAAGAGACGGCCGGTCGACGTCGGGGATAAGATGGCGGACGTCCGATGGATCGTCCTCGCTTCTCTTCTACGGCTACTCATCTGGACTACTCCGTGTTGTGGTCAAGATGCACCGAGTAACCCGGCCTATGCAGGTAAGTGTTACCAAGTTATAACGAATTCACTGGTATTACTGCTGCTGCGAACGATTGTCAAGTGGGGTGTGCGCGTCCGAGCTAAGCCTACTTTAACGGCTCCTTGGGTGTGGTCTGCTGGAATGTTGCCGTCTGCTGGCGTGATTCTTGCATGTGAACGAAGGAAATTAAACTCTGACAAAACACTCATGGTGAAACGATTCTGACTTCGTTAGAAAGTGGATGTGCGTCTCTCGCTGGGCTCAGTGTAAATATCATGGCGGGAACCTTTCCGCGTGCACAATGTTTGCGCATAGAGAATATAATATAAAAGTTTGACACAATATTGATGACGGAGTCAACAGGGTCATAATATCCGCCCTGTGTATCTATACAATTATAAATTAATTTCCGAATTTTTATGCAGCCTATGACCAATATATAACATTAGTCATTTGAAACCATGCAGAAACCAGAGGTGTTCAAAGAAGCAGTTTCTAATTCAATCTAGAGGCACGATGAACGTATTGAAGAATTATGTAAACAAATGATCAGATCGAAGGAAATCAAATCAATAATATTGCGTAAGTTACGCATTTGAGAGCGTACTTCCCGAAAGGACAATTGCACACACACACCATTTCTGCCACTGCTTGTGAACATCGCTTTCTATCAGAGAGTCGACTTTTTTCAGAAACAAATAAAAGCGTTCAAATGGTGAAATGAATATCATAACGTAAGAAATACCTGAAGTAACACCGGCATTGCTCGAGCTCGTCGACTGATTCATTGCAATATGAATTTTAATCAAAACGAAAAATTTGAATGCTATCAGTTAGATAAATCACATCCCGATTTCTTTGCGTCATATTTTCTCCACTAAACATTGTAACACCCATAATCGTGTAAAAAGGGCGTAAGAAGGGTGTAGGTTAAAAAAAACACGCTTTTTACACGCTTTTTACATGATTTCTGAATATCGGTGGGTGTAAAAAGGGTGTGCTGATGTTTTACACCTTTTACACGCCCTCTTTACGCCTTACTTGTAGCGATGGTGCCTGAAATCGTGTAAAAAGGGCGTATGGGCGAATTTTACGCCCTTCATCCACACGGTGTGAAAGGGGCGTAATGGTGATGCTGTCAAATACGCCCATAATTTCATAGCCGTTCATATTGAATTCAATTGAATTGGTTTTTATTTAGACACTAGGTCAAGAGTAACAGGACAAAAGGCAGATTATCTCTGCCTGACGTGGTCCTATCACCCGTTTACGATGCAAGCAATATTTATTGCTTTATTACAATACAAAGCAATATTTATTGCCTTGGTGAAACTGTTGTTGATGTACGGCGGTACAGACATCGAGTATAATTAATCGCCACACAGAGTCGCGTATGATTAGGAAGTGCTAGAGAATAGTTTTTGCAACTCCTATTGAACTCTTCGTTCGACACGAGCCTAAAATTACGTTTCGCGCGTGCATCAGTTTTATCGGTTCAACCTTGATTATAAAAAAAATCATCTCCGCTCGCAAAAAAAAGAAAAATGAATGAAGACGTTTAAATATACAGCCTAGGCAGCACACACTATTGCGCTGCTATGGAATTAAATCGGAAAGATTGTGTCGATATTATTTTAGTCTAGCCAATATCTGAAAAATGGGATGGGTCGCGCCGACGCTGTCCTGACATACCGTACTTGGCGCCGTTTTTGGTTGACTGTCAAGAGTGTCCTGCGCGAATCGGCTATGCCGGCGAGGTATTTCTATTTCTTGACTGTCTAAAATCCGACGTTAAAAAAACAATACAAAGCAAGATTAACCGAAATAGAATCTGCTTACTCGTAACCTGAGAAAGACCTTTTAAGCTGAAGACTTGAACAAACTGTGGGGCCCTCATTTCGGATATTACAAACTCACCTGACTGGGTTTCGCACTACTGATAGCACCTTCACTGATACTTTATTTTGGAGTGTAGCTCTGAAGAAACAATGTCTCAAGACAATCGAAAGTGCCGGATTAATGACACCCCCAGTGACGCGACTCTTATCTCTCCGTAATGACACCAAAATATCTAGCTTTCCGACGCTTTTTTTTTTCCGGTTTTTCTTTGGTACACGTGAAACCGCGTCTTCGGCGGCGTTAAAAATGTTTTTTTTTTTTTTGTATTTGTCTTGTGATTTCGCGGTCCGTACCAGATCATGCGCGTCTACAGGAGTGGCAGTTTGAGACGCTCAAGGTTGTACTACGCAAAGCAAGCCCTGGCGAGTCCGAATTCGCGACCTTCCCTGGGCAGGGCAGGTGGCAATACAAAGCAGCAGAGGGAGATTAGCGGCTTTGTCCAACCCCCTTTGACCTCGTCTTCTGATAAGCCTCGAAACCTTCTTTTGTGTCTTCGTGTTGCTGTGAGCGAGTGCGAAGTCCACTTCTAGCAAATCAGAGGGGTGGCGCAAAACACGTGACCGCTCTCCGTAGGACAAGGACGCTTGGACGAAAATTTGTCATGTGATTCGCTCTGACGCGCTGATCGGCTACTGGGGCCGTAGTCTTTGCAGTATGCCAAGTTATGGCGAGTTGTAGGGGCCACGTAGGTCCGGTTTACAAAAAGGGGGGCGCCCGTCAGTGTATTCCTCATTCCTGTTTTTCGTGCGTTTGAGTCGCGGCCGTGATTTTTCGTTGTGAACGGCCGGAATACATCCATGCCAACTTTTCGGAAATGGTCGTTTATTTCGTCGGAGTCCATGGAATTATTGTGCTGTATTTGTTGGACGCGTTTCGACAAAGAGCTGCTCATCGGCGGCCGCGAGACTTCCGTTGAATGTGATCGACCGCCTTCAACCTCGGCATTGTGTTTGCGTTGTTTTGCGCTGCCCGAATCGGATTACGCATCTATCACGACAGAGGTGTGCTCATCGGCGACCGCGAAACTTCCGCTGAGTGTGAGCGACCGCCTTCATCCTCGACATTGTGTTTGTGGATAGTTCTGTGCTGCCCGAATCGGATTATGCATCTATCACGGATTACATGAGATCGCTGTTTTATTTGTAAGTACTCTGCAAGCATGCTTCTGATAGTAGTCCAAGAGGGCTATGTTCGACAAATGTTTGATTTCTCCTAAAAAGAAACGGAAGTGACGAAAGCGATGATATCGCGTTTGATTGGTTGGAAGGTCAAATGGCGAAAATAGGTAACTTATGTCATTTGAACCTCTAACCAATCAAACGCGATATCGTCACTTCCGCCATTCCGTTTATTTTAAGGAGTAACAAAACATTTGTCGAACATAGGCTCCCTGCTTCCGTTTCAATAGACCATTTTACGGTTTACAAACATGAACTGCCGCTTACGTCTATAGCAACTCCCGGTCGTACCGTCTTTGCAAGCCTGTCAGTTTTGTCCACGTCACCAGTGCAAGGAAGCATAAACGTCACAAGAAAAGTACAGTTGGAGATTCAACTAGGGCCTTCGGTTGTACAATTTGAAGGGGTTATGAAACAATATCCGGTTGAAATATTTGTGAGCTTACACGCACGGACCGCCACTGGTTTAGAAGCGTCTCGGTCGTGGTGGAATTGCGAGGATAAACGAGAACTATTTCTTTCAGTCTTGCCTTCGCCAATTTTGATGACGTGCGCGTGAACGTAGCTTTGCCCTTTGGCACGCTTGTAATTGCACGCACTTGCCCGCATAAGCAGAGACATGGCTGCGGCCAGATGACCTGCTTGCAATCGTCTATAGAGAATTTTGTAGAACCTGTTAGAACTTTGATTAACATAATAAAAAGTGAACCAGGCATTTGCAGTCATTTTCTCGTGCACTCTTTTGGGTTATTACGCCCTACTTTATGGGTGTTGGTAATCGCGCCTTTTTTATTTCCCTTTCTTGCGGTAATACACACAATTTAGAGGGCGTACTGCGCAGACATAACGCCCTAATGAAAAGGTGTACAGTGGAATCACGCCCTAATTGAAAGGTGTTCGGAATAACGCAGTCCTTTAAGGGTGTTAGGGAAAACACCCTATTTTAGGGGCGTTAGGAATAACGCCCTTTGTTTAGGGCGTTTTGCTACACCCAAATGGGTGTTAGTTATAGGACAAGCCATTTACACCCAGAAAGGTGTTACGATGTTTAGTGTGTACCCTGACGAAGCAGTTACTTTTGCTTCTGAAACTAACCATTGTGAAGTTTAAACGTAGTGAGTTGCTATTGTAGAATTGCTCTAAGCGAATTGTAGGAGTCGAACTTTAATTTGGGTTACTTCGTTTTTACAATGAATTATTAAATGAGTGGATATGGCTAAAAACCTCTTGAATTGGGCGGCACCTTACGCCACCTAAAACAGTGTTTCAATTTAAACTTAGTGACTCGATTTGGCGGAAACTTGTGAGTTCTAAAGACATGGAGCTGGAGTCTATTGAAACACGAATGATAAGCTAAGACGGCCTTGGCGACGCGACAAAAGATGAAGAAGTAAGGAACAGAAATAAGATAGAACGCGTGGCTAGGTTTGCGAATCATGAGAGTCATAACACTTACCTTACTTATATAGATACACTTCGAAACGAGTCTGGCATCTTGATAAGAAATATGTTGCTGTTTGATTGCCGACAACGACAGTACCACTTTTTGGAAACGGATAACTATTCCCAGGTTTATAGAAACATACGAGTTTATTTGCAATAGTCGAAGGTGTGGACTGGAGGGAATATGTATTCCCAAATTGATAAGTTACAAAAAGCAGAGGTATCATCTTATTGCTTCCATACATATACAAAATAATTGCAGCCAATACAGTTCGAACACCACGAATTGTAAAATATTTCCGTAAACTAAAAAAAAAAAAAAAACTTATAAAAAAAACGAAGGTTAAAATCTTAAATCTTGTTTGTGAAACTAAAAATAAAACTGATTGTCTTTTGACGGGCCGATTGCGTATCTATTGTCTGATAGAGATGAGCTGTAAAGTTATTTCGGAAGGGTTCTTTGAATATAATGAGGGCCATAATTAGATGGGGAGTTACCAACTAGCCAGGATTCAGCTAGAGCAAGGGTCGCTAACTCATTCAAGTGTGGACACCAAATATAGCCCAACCCCGAAAGGACGAGGGCCAACGGAGGTGGGGGGAAATATTTTGCTATTTTTTATAAAAAAAATAAAGAAACAAACAACATTGTTGTTTCACGTTGCAACGCAGCTGACTGTCCCAGCGACACTCCAGAGATGTTTTCAGACAAGGAACTTGATGCTTTCTGCTTTTTGTAAGCTCATCGTTCTTGCCCTCTTTAGCTTTTAGTTGCATGCATGCGTCTACTTAGAGTCCACGCCTGATGTTATAAAAATATCTGAAACACCGCCATACCACAGTACTGGCAGCTATCAATAGAATGAGATTCTCTCTTCACGCGGAAGTTTTTGCTTTTCTGTCAATTTTTATAACAACATTATATATATAAAAAAAATACTTTCATTTGAAAGGTATTGTCTGACAGCAAGAGCCCGAGCTCCTAGCTTTATCTGTGACCGTTACTCCTGCTGTGCAAGAGTTCGCGGAGCCGATGTGACTCCTTGAGCAAAAAGCTGACACTTGTATACTTTAGTACTAGTGGTATTGCCATTCCGGTTGATTTACGTGAGAAAGGGCTCCGAAGCAAATATTTAGACAAAGCAATACTTAATCATTAAGAAAAAAAAAATAGAATAGTGCAAAGTGCGTGAAGAGAGCAGAGCTCCTTTTCGAGCGGAAATGAATTGACAATATAAAACTATTATTTATGGCGCATGTGGCGCTCGAGGCATGCCGGGAGGCTTGTGGGTCGCATACGAGAGAGTCGCGGGCAGCGTGTTTGAAACCCCTGAGCTAGAGACAGTGGAAGGTGATGTATAGTGTAGAGGTTTTCCTCAGTGACGTCAAGGAAATGAACCAACTTCTTTTTCCCATTGTACGTTGTACTCCGTGGACAACCTAAAGCTACAAAATGCAGATACTACAAATGATACTGAAAGCCTTTTTTTTTTTCCATGGAATATATTTGATAGAAATTTGATTTTGTGGTTGTAGGCCAAAATAAACAACAACATTTCGAAGGACAACGAAATATCCACTGGTACAAAATCAGAATAACACTGGGCGGCCGCATTTGACAATGTTGATACCGGCTTAAACCAAACAGCCACAAGCCAACATGATCTCTACGTGATCGTCATTTGGACGCAGTTTCAGAAACATACACGGGCAGTGCGTTAAATATTCTAAAGCGGTTAAAAAAGAAAACAAGGTAAAAAAAAAAGCCTTATTGGGAAGTATTTTAAGTGCACCGAATTCAAAGTACTGCTTCAAGTAGGATTAGAAAACTTGTACTTTACACGAAGCACATTATCTGAGTATGTACTTGTACTTTCCGAAATACAACTTCCGACTTCAAAGTACATTCCTCAAATTTGGTCTTGATAAATGTGTATCACAAAATGATGCTTTGCCAACTCTGAAGAAATACTGGGAGGGATATTCTACTCTTACCAGAAAACGCAAGCAGACGACACATCGCTCCGTTTATTCTGCGGGCGGCTTTCCCGCAGCATCTCAAACGCTCGCCAGGTTGTAGCTCGGTCAGCGCGAGCGAGGAGGTTTAAAATATTAGGAGATATGACACTCGTATCGAGAGGATTCCTTGCAGAAGCCATAGGGTAAACATCATGCTCTCTCCTAGTGCGTTTAACCCCTTTGGGTGCAAGTCACTACAAGCGGCACCAAATTCACAACTGAATTAGGCGTCATTTCCGAAAATAACTACTCTGCGGCTTGTTGTTTTCGATCAATATTCGCTACCATTTTTGAAAATACCTGAGTCACCCCCAATTACCCCTAAAACAATGCATACCGGTAAAAAGAAATTGAATGAAAGGTTATTTTGAAAGCTTGTTTTAAAAAGTACTTTACTTTGAAAGTACAATGTATTTATAGTACTTTACTTCAAGTACATTGCGCCCAGTGTTACTTTACTCGAGGTAAATAACGTCCAATTTAGTTTGTATTTTACTTCATGCACTTTTTAGATGCACTTTACCCAACACGTGAAGAAACCTCGATTGGAGTTAATAATAGCCGTGGGCGCTATAACGCTCGTGTATTTTAAGCTAATGCACCCCTTGTGGCAAAATAAAGAGCCTCTATTTCGCTTACACAAGTAGCTCTTGTCTTACTTGCATGGTTAGCATCTCTCACATGATTCTATTCGCTCAGAAAACCCGTCAAATTTCAATCTTTCTTGTAATGCTCAGCGTGTTGGTTAACATGTTATGCATAAACTAGAAATAATGCACAAAACAACACATACTTCAACTTGATTCCCTGAAGAAACTGTGCAGATCGCTATAATGTGCGAAATAGTTACTCAAACTTTAGTGACAAAAAATGAAATATATGGCACTTGAAGTTATATATACTATATATAGACTCCTATATATAAAAGTGGTGTTCCCTAGCTTGTGAACACGCTAATCCCCGTAATTGAAATATTCGTTTTCTATTTTTTTTTCTTTTCGGCGCAGATCGTATATAATATGGCCCCTAAATTACGCGCAATATGCCTTGGGTTAACCAGCAACATTAAACGTAAGGAACCGATAAAAAGTAACGACTGAGCGAAAAGCACGGAAGTTTAATTAAAGCTTCTCGTTGCTACTCCTTTTCCACTCTTCCATTTCTCACCAGCACTTGAGGCTCATGCCTGTGTTCTAGAGCAGAAATTTTTTGTATTCTACGTTTACTAATGTCTGTCAGGTCCAACAGACTAAACGGCTATGCTAAAAGGGTTAAGATTAGGCACACTTTAAAAATGCGAGTCTTCACGAATTTAAGGACGAGTTTACGCCTTTATTATTGTCTAGCCTGGGCTACGTGGTCGGCTAGGTTTTCTAATAATGTAAAATAATTAACATTGAATAGCGTATGTAATTTGCGAAGATAATCTATTCGTAAACTTAAAACCAGCGGCACAAGAAAAATCTCAGAGGGCAGGCACGGTATAATGTTGCCTGTGTACCTGTAATTCGTGATTTTGTGCCCCTGCTTTGTTTACGCAAGTCCTCAATTTGAAGACACCCGACTCATCGACTCATTCATCCTGAACTGAATTCTTCCTGAATTTACCTGAACTGAATATTTCATGAATTTACCTGAATTCAATATGCATTCACCTGAACTCATTCTGAATTCATCCTGAATTCATCTTCAATTCACTTGAACTCACCCTGAGTTTACCTAAATTCATCTTGAGTTTACCTGAATTCATCCTGAACTTAATTTTCATTTACCTGAACTTATTTTGAATTCATTCTGAACTAATCTTTAATTCTCCTGAACTACTCCTGCATATAACTGAATTTATCTCGAGCTCCTTTTGAATCCACCTAAACTCATCTTGAATTCATCTGAACTCATTCTGAATTCACCCGGAACTCATGTTGAATCCACCTGAACTCAGACTGAACTCCTAAGTTCTTCCCTGTGCGATCTAAAGCCCGCAATCTCACCCCTCGACGCAGTGGACCCAAACCTGTACGCCATCGAGGACCACCTGGTGTTTCCGGAGCGTCCGTCGGACTACTACAGCTTCCGGAAGTCCCTGATGTACCCGTACGACAGGTTGGACCTCACCAATATCGACTCGAGTAAGCAGGAGCACGAGGTCTCGCTACAGGCCAGGCTGCCCTTCTTCGGCTTCTACTACAAGTACATCAAGGTGACACGGAGTAGTTCCTTACATCCTCGCACCTGGCCCTCAATGAGTCCATGCTGATTCGTTAAAAAACGAACTGTCTAATTGTTTTAACGCTCCTGCGTGATTAGTACTTACGATGTTCCTCCTTGTTTTCCAGGTTCACCTGAACGGGTACCTGCACTTTGGCGGCGCCCCTTCGGGATACAGCTTCCCCATCCGATTCCCGCTGAGGCCCGAGGACACGATCAGGGAAAAGGACCCGGCCCTCATCGCTCCGTGGCTCAGTTTCCAGAGCATGGTTTCGGACATTCCGGGTAAGATGGGCATCGTTTACGAGTCGTCTGTCATTAGGGAGTTTTAGTAGACCGTGTTTTCCGCTCCGCTAAGCCCCTCCGCTACCCAGAACTGTACAGCCAAGGCCGTCGGCGCGCAGGCGCAGTGACGGTTTGTTCGTAACGGAGGGTAAGCGGGGAGAAAACACGGTCTACTAAAACTCTTCTGTCACTGTTTTCGCCGGCTGTCCGGTTCCTCGCGTGCCCCGTACATTTCTGATGAAAACGGTCCCTACCACATTTAAATGACGTGGCAAAAGAGTCGCCCCCCCCACCCAAGTTGAAATGCCCTATTTATACCGTCCAAAAAATAGCCTACTGTGCGTTGCCTTCTTTGGCTGGTGGGCTGTGGGATAAGTTCTGAGCATGCGCAAACATTATTTGTGGGGGGAGTATCGGGCGCCATGCATGTTCCCACAACCTGGTGACTCATTATTTTATGCCTGGGTGAAAAGCTCTGGAAAGGTGTATGCGCGTGTCAGGAACAGCGTTCGTGGAGCTGGAAATCATCACCGATACACGTATGGCACTATCCTTCTTTTGGATGTGGTCAGTAGACCAGTGTCACGCTATAAACAAGCAAGCTCTGTACACTGCGTGTGCTTCAGTGCGAAGGCGACATTGCCAATATTTCGTAGTTTCCTCACACGTTAATATAAAATTCCAAGTTTTGATAACTAGGTTCATGCCGTATAGACCAACAGCTTCTAGAAACTAAAGCCTGCGCCCCCGCTGCGTGACGTCACTGCAACTAGACCAGCGAGCGGAAAAGCGGCAGTCGGCTTACCGGTGTGTGACGATCATGCAACAACTCTAACTTTTACAGTTTGCCTATGAAGTGACGACAGCTGAAAACACTAATGATACAACAAAATGGTGAGCTGGGACAGTTGGTTCATTATACGGAAAGAAACGTGCCAAAACTGGGACAGAGTAAAGAAGACGAAAACAAAGGTCCTGTGTTGTCGTCTTCTTTACTTTGGCCCAGTTTTTGGCGCTTTTTTTTTCCGTACTAATAATACGTATTAGCGACTACACCCTATTTAACTTAATCTCCTTTGTAAAACCAAAGCGCTGTTCTGAAATCGTAAATATTTTAATTTGAAACATATTTTTCATATCCAGGTTTACCACCATAATTAGAAAATATCTGAAGTATTATTTTACGCCTTGTGCCTTCCAGGTAGTTTCCTGAAACATAAAATAAAGGAACAGCACACTCTCGACCTCCCGCCACAGGCTGGACCACTGATCTCAATGACAATTGCTGGATCGCGCTTGCCGCTCCCGCAAGTGAAGCCACCGGACGCAACCCCGCTGGGATACGATTTCCCGTTTTGCTAGCTTTTTGCTGCGGTTTTCCAGCGTGCTGTAGACACGTTTTCTACTCGTTCGTCGTCATTCGCCGAGGAAGTTTTTTGAGACTCTGTGTATTCTTGAGACTTGCCGTTGTGAACACGTGGAAAATTTTACGAAAGTGCAGTGTCGCAGGAAAAAGGCACAACGCGTCGAAAGGAAGGGCTGGCGGCGTGTTCAAGGCTTCCTTGGCACGCCGAAGTGCCGTGTCTCTGTGCCTTCGCGCGCTTGGATACCGACCAAGAACCGACGCCGTGTGAATGTGTTTAGCGAGTGCAATGTGCGTGAAGCCGTATCAAAAGGTACAACTCGTCGAAAACGTGTCGCCGGTGTCGCGGCGTGATCAAAGCTTCCTTGGCACGCCGAGTGATGCATCTTTGTGCCTTCGCACGCTTGGATACCGGTCAAGAATTGACGCCGCGCCAAAGTTCTGAACATGTGTCGCGCGTAGATGCCTTTAGATCATTTATATATATCGGCCACGGAGTTCTGGATCGTCCACCTGTTCCGGTGAGTTGCTACCAATAAAAGGGGGAAATCTGTACGTGTTCTTATGTACTATATTAACCATGGCTATGGCCCAAATCTACTCTAATAGATTCCGTGGGAGCACGAATAGGGCAACGTTGTGGAGCCAGGGGGGTTTTCGAAAGCAAAAGTACAAGACGGCGAGAATGAAAATCTTTGAAGCGCGGCCGATATGGTCGTGTGCAATCTGTTGACCAATTACAATTAGGCGAGCCGCGCTCAAACGTCAAGTGCAATTAAGTAGGTTGATAATAAGCCAGCACTGATCAGTGATGAGGAGCTGTTGTGCACGGTATTGTGTAAATCGTCTAAGGACGAAAAAAAGACGTACGTTCCCCCCATCTTCCGTCGCTAGTGGACGCTGGATTAAGCTCGTTCCTAAACCGCGAGGGGAAAAGACGCTGATCCAGAGGCACGAACAGCTTCACGCACATTGCACTCGCTAAACACATACACACGGCGTCGGTTCTTGGTCGGTATCCAAGCGTGCGAAGGCACAGAGACACGGCACTTCGGCGTGCCAAGGAAGCTTTGAACACGCCGCCAGCCCTTCCTTTCGACGCGTTGTGCCTTTTTCCTGCGACACTGCACTTTCGTAAAATTTTCCACGTGTTCACAACGGCAAGTCTCAACAATACACAGAGTTTTCAAAAAACTTCTTCGGCGAATGACGACGAACGAGTAAAAAACGTGTCTACAGCACGCTGGAAAACCGCAGCGAAGGCTAGCAAAAACGGCAAATCGTATCCCAAGCGAGTGCAGTCCGGTGGCTTCACTTGCGCTGCAGCGAACAAGCGGGGAAGCGCGATCCAGCAATTGTCATAGTTGTATTTTCCTTTTGTATTTAAAATGTACGAAAATACGTGACGGCTCGGTAATCAGTGAGTGAACTGTTTTATTTTAAAATAATTAGTTTTAATAGAGTTAAGCAAACGCGACACCAAATCTGGCTGATTGACTACGTGTCAGAAGGCCATCGTGTAATAAATGAACGTGACAAAATGTATAGTTAGTCTCACGAGACTTCCTTTTTGCCCCCGTTTCTGGTTTAGTATGTCGGTCTACAGAGATGTGGTTCATTCAGACTTTATTTTTAAAACAATGGTAACTTTTTTTGGAAAACAGACAGTTTCTCTTTAACTGGAGCAGACCTTGCATCCAGCCTAAGGCATAATTTCTCTATCTGCCAACTTTGTTGAGAGTTCCCTCAACAAAGGAAGGAACTCGTTTGTTTGTCGACTCCCTTGCACAAGTGTCCAGCTCCTCGAACACTGGCAGCGTAGCTAGTGTCAGGTCCCTGACAACTTTTCGTTGGTCACGTAACCGCAAGAACTGAGCGATGCGATGGGACGACATAAGCTTGTTCGCAACAACTTCAGCATGCATTACCGCAGTGACGACCAGTTGGGTTAAAAGATACAGTCCCCCTCAATTGAAAGCATGTGTCAGATGATGAACCACTGCACGCATCGGGAGGAAGTGTTCCCCTAAAAACCAAATGTTCTTTGCGGTATAAGCCTCTGTGACTGAACGTTTTCACTCACAGAGGCGAAGTATCCATCTACGTAGGTCAGAATGGGAGTTTTGGACGACAGCGCTGCTAAATCATAGTCGGTGATGCCAAGTGCAAAAGCTAGAACACAAAGCAAAATACTCTGCGGAGGTGACTCGCACGCGAAAACAAACAAAATGTTTCAAAACACTTTGGGGTGCACGGTTACTCGTTTTAAAAGCAACTCTTTGAGAACACAAAAAATAAAAAATAGAGTTGTTTATTATATTACCGTTTTTCTGGGCACATCGAGAATCCGGAAGTACAAGAATGCAAGTATAAAACAAAAATCCGCCAAACCAACATACCTTCGAAGAGCTTGCAGCTTGAAGCTACTTTCTCCGGGACCACCTCAATCCATTGAGTTCGCCGTTGCCCATCGTTTGGGAAGGAGAATTTGTGAACCTTTGATTCTCCGGCATAATTTCTCCGACACCACGACACAGAACACATATAAAGCATTAATCCTCACATTGGCACGCACGAAAACACTAGAGATTCTATTCGCCGACGGCCGCAGTGAATACGTAGGCGTCTTGTCTCCACATTTTCAACGGCTTTCTATGTAGCCAGATTGCGCGGCGCACCTAAAGTCTGGCTTTTCTTCACTTGCGAGCCGCATGCTGTCTATAAAACTGCCTCGTCATGTTGCGTTATCTTTCTTTTATTATTATATTAAATGCAGTCGGTACAAAATGTACAACCTATAACACACATTCCATCTTTAACGCTTAGACCGAACGCAACGGAGATAACAGAGCATTAAAAAAAGAAAAAGAAAAAAAAGTGTTTTCCCCGGGCTATCTGGAGTGCTTCGTCAGCGTCGTCGCAGATGCTCGGCGGTGAAAACCGCCTGCTGACTCCATTCGCTCGACCTAAAGTGAGTTAGCCGACGTATCAAAACGAAGCGCCGCCCAGGCCGTGGTTTCTAGAAGCTGTTGTCTAGACACGAGGGCTAATTTCACTACCGTCGTTGTTTGGAGCACGGCCTTCGAATAGGGCAAAAAATATCTTTAAAAATCCGGCAATCGCTTTTTTCCCTGCTGAAGGGATACTCCGGCAAATTTTTGAGCTATCCCAACTAACTATACTTTCTGAATCCCGGGCCTTTACCCTTTCCGGCATGCTATTTAGTATCGCGAATGTCATAATAGTTATTGTAAAATCGGCAAAAAAAAATGAAAAAAATGTGACGTTTACAAATCTCGGTATTGCGAAATTAGGGCGCAGATCCTGAGGATGAGGAGGGGAGGGTACGGAGGGGAGGGTACGGAGGGGAGCAACGTTAGAGGGGAGGGTATGCCCCACCGTGACTTCCCCTCCTTCTCCTTAACCTGCTAAACTTAGCGGGGAAATTTTTCCGCTAAATTTTTAGGGAAAAGTTTTCCGCTAAAATTTGAAGGAAAATTTTGTCCGCTAAATTTAGCGTGAAAAAGTCCAGGTTACCTGTCACATGACTTCGTGATTTTTACCTGTGGCTGTCACACGACTTCCTCTCATATCACCCATAAACAAATACAGTTTCTCCGCTAGATTTAGCGGGAAAATTGACGTCACGGGACCTCATCGCTAATTCAATTTCCCGCTAAATTTAGCGGGGCAGTTACGCCGACGGCGACGCCGAGGCCGACGCCGCGAAACGCGGAAAGAGGAGCCTAAGAGCTGCGCTCTAATATACCCGCAATTTCCAGTGCCATGACGTCAGTGGCAGGCAGGCTTGCCAGTCGAGCAAGCAGTCAAAAAATAGACTACGCCAAGCATCCAGTGTGAATACGCCTCGCAAGTGGGCTCATTTTCGTCTTCTACGCATGAGAAAGGAAGTAGCGGTGGCGTCAGAACGCCGAGTTCTGATTGGCTGATCGCGACCCCCTATTGAGCGTCGTCTGCTCCTTTGCAACGTCATCTGCTCGCAACATCGTCTGCGTCTGTCTTACCTTTCCTGCAACTTTCGGAGCGAACTCGACTTCGCCTTTAAGGGTTGGCAGACGAAATAACTCGAGCGGTACGTTGTTTTCGTCTAACAACTAGCAGATGCGCATCAAGGAGGGAAGTCAAAGGACTCACTGGCGAGGTGTCCCGGGGCGCCGAGGTTTGTTTGCTTAGTGTCCGCAAGTTCCCTCCCAAATACTTTTTACCTCCATTCGTGTGCGGCAAGACCCCTCACTCTTTAACGGCGCCGGCGGGTTGGCGCAGTTAACGTCGTCTGCTTTACGTCTGCTAGTCAAAGCGATGGCTGCTTTGCCTTTCCTGCGTCTGTCGGAGATTCGCCGCTTTTTCACCGGCGAGAGTCACCGTTGCCTCGGGAAACAAGGAGATAACAAGAGGAAGAAATTGACCTCTTAATCTAAAATTGAGGTCAGCGATCAAAGTATAACACGGGAAGGGTTCACAAGGGTCGCGCGGGCATATTCCATTCAGCACGTCAGCCGGTCGTGGGCAGACGGTCGCCGAGTCGCGGAGTGCCTGCTAGGCCTAACTGCCCAGCTCGTTTGGTCGCGTTCGGTGGAATCGTCGCCGTTGGAGCTTTTCCCCGGTGTCTGTGGATCCAGCGTTCTTGTTCGTCGTGCTCTGTTTCAAGTAATTTTTACTTTTTTTTTTTTTGCTGCTTGAAGTCAGGACGCGTGAGAAGCTCACGTAGAAAAATAAACGTCCGTGGGTCGTCGCGACCGCGACGCTGTCGGCCATGCTGATTTGATCGTAAGAAGGGCGTAAGACAGCTTCGGAGCTGTCGTAGGATTTCGCCGTAACCTGCGCAAAACTTACGAAAATTTCGTTTCGTGAATACGAATTTGTTCTTAAGTTTTGTCTTACGCACATTTTTGGCGTAAGATCATTTCGTGAATCTGGCCTCTGCACTTCCGAAAGTCGCAGGAAACGTAAGACAGACGCAGACGACGTTGCGAGCAGACGACGACGCAAAGAAGCAGACGACGCTCAGATAGGGGGTCGCGATCAGCCAATCAGGGCTCGGCGTTCTGACGTCACCGCTACCCCCTGCGCAAGGAGCAGACGAACTTGCCCTCCGCATAAGCGGTAACAGTGTCGCGCTCTGTTCATTGTCAGTCACGCAATAGTTGCTCTGTTTCTGTCTCTTTTAAACCGAGGTTTGTTTAGTTAGTGAGAATTAGCTTGTTTATTTATCGAGGTGGTCCATTTGATTAAAACTGTATGACAACAGTTTTCATAATTACATCGGCTTGGTCTAAAGCAAGTACACGCTGCAGAACGGACATATGTTCAAACGTTCTTTATTTAGCTACGAAATTAGACTGCATTTATGATCCCCACGGCACTATTTTTTAATGATATGTTTACCGTTGATGTCTGAACTTGTGAATTTTCATGTTCAGATGATTTTCCCTTTATACTAGCATTACAACTGAAACGTGAGCATGGTCATGCCGAATTGCCCTATATCTGTAACCTTACGAAAATGTATAAGCATCCCCTCCTCGCAGAAATCCCATTTAGGCACAGCGAGGTAACCCGAATAAATAAATAAATAAATAAACGGCAACACAAGTTCCGGTAGATTGTAGCGATAATTTGAGAATCCCCATACTACATCTGTTGGCATTTGAGCGGACTATTGTAATTCGGAATTAAAAACAGCGCGAAAAGACGAGGACCAGACAAAGAAGTGACACGGACGTCCATGTCACTTCTTTGTCTGGTCCTCGTCTTTTTGCGCTGTTTTTAATTCCGAAATATGTTCCAACTCGCCCAATCCTCAACTTTGGGACTATTGTAAGCTGGAAGTATGAGCTCATATATTGGTGAACTGCTTCCACGGCACATTGTGTGTCTTGATTGTTACCTGTACAAGAAGCCAGCGCACTCGTACCCTGGCTTCCTAGACCTGCTGCGGAAACAGCGACCACAATGCCTGTATAACAGAAGGGTATTATTGTAGTCCTCAATTTGGAGCCAATTTAGTATTGGGTATTTCCTACAAAGAATATCATATGGCGGTTAAATAAGCCTTTTCTGTATTGCGTGTTCTTGATACCTGAGCAGACAACCAAGTCGAGCAATGGTAAACAAATTAAATAGTAAAGGTAAAAAGAAAAAAAGAAAAGAGGCTAGTGTTTTCCGCTTATTAGTACTGGAGAAGTGCCCTTCCTTAATAACGGAATTATGAAAGGACACGAATCCTTGTCTGCCCGACAGCGAGGTGATGTGCCTTCTGCTTCTTTACGACATACTGGAGTGACGTGTGCGGACATGTTTTTCTGCAGAGTCTGGCGTCTACTTCCGGTTGTTTCGTATCGGCGAACCGAGCTACAGGGACCCTGATGGATGGCTGGAGAAGCGGGCCATCGAAGACTTCCGGGAAGGCATGATCGGAGCCGCAGACTTCAAGCCCATCTTCGTGGTGATCGCCACCTGGAGGAACGTCACTCTGACGGGGATGCAGAACAGAAACAACATCAAGGTGGGATGATCTGTGCGATCACTGATAGAATGAGAGCGTCAGAGAGGAGCCGCAGTTGCCCCACCTCCAGAGCGAGCTTTTTTATAAGCGCTTCGGGAGCCTTGAGCGTGCACGCGCAGTCAAAGCACAGGGAGAAGAAACGCGTCCGTGCTGGAGGGAAAGAGACAGTGTCTATAGCAGCTTATCGAAAAAGGACAGACGTTTACGCTTCTCTGTAATGCGAAATTAAAGCGCAGCACTTGAGGTGTGTTGATTTTGTGATATACCCCGTGGCCTGTGAAGTTACATGACGCCACAGTTTTCCCGCTAAATTTAGAAGAAAAATTGACGCCACGTAACCTCAACACCAATTTAGTGTCCCCGCTAAATTTAGCGGGGACAATGGCGTCACATGACTTCGTGCCACGTCACACATAAACAAATTCAGTTTCCCCACTCGATTTAGCGGAAAAATTGACGTGACGTGACCCCAACACTGCGCATTCAGTTTCCCCGCTAGGGAAAAGTGAATTGGTGTTGAGTTCATGTGACGTCAGTTTTGACGCTATATTTAGCGGGGAAACTGGATGCGCAGTGTATAATGGGACATCACAGACCTATACACCAATTCGGTTTCTTCGCTAAATTTAGTGGAGAATTGGATAGGTGTATAGGTCTGTGGCGTCCCATAATGCAACGCGCGCGGTTACACCTACGGCGACGCCAACGCCGATATATACGCGAAAACGAGCGCATAAGAGCTGCGCTCTAAAAAAGGAAAGGTTGACAAAAACAGTGCCCATGAACAGGTTCCTGGAGTGGTTTACACCAGGTATTCATCGACCATTTGGTATTAGGTGTAAAAAGCACCTTGAAGAAATTTGTTCTTCTCAATTGCGCCCAGCCGTGCATTACAGAATATAGCTTTTCTAGGATTGCGGTGGCGGAAACGTCTGATAAAAATGAGCTAATCGTTAACTGTTTTATTCGTTTTATTGTTTCTTTATTAAGAGTTTACAGACATGTTAAAAAAAAAGCCGTGAAAGCTACACTGATGAGGTTTATGGAGGTGAGTTATACGACGAGGTGGACATAATACTACAGGGGTTGGTCTTCACTATAAGCCAGTTAATGAAATAAAACTTATTCATTACCTTGTTTATTTATTAAACATAAAGATCTGAGTTCAATGAGAAACTTACTGAGCGTCATAAAAAAACGCTAAATAAGTACATTTTAGAAATATTTGGGGCGCGTAGGAAGCGCGGTACTGCGCTAAAGTTACCACTCGTGGAACAGGCGCGAGGCTACTGGTACGAAAACGCTCCCGCGCAGTTGTTCCGCGTCTCATCCGCGTTTTCGCGCCGGTAGCATTGAGCCCGTTGCACGAGCGGTAACTTTAGTGCACCACCGCTCCTCCCATGTGCCCCAAATTATTTAATGGTTGTCGATAGCGCTCAGAAACCTTTTAACCTAAACTATGTTTATCAATTCAATACCTAAATAGTTAATTACCCAGTTTCAGCTTATTATACGTCACATCGGAACGGCCTGCTATGTCACGTCCCCCTGACCGCATAACCCACATTCACAAACCGAATTAGTGTTGCTTTCATCGCTTTTCTAAAATAAATCCGTAATAATAATTAAAAAAAAAACACACACACATTGTGCAAGGTAATAGTACAAAAATAATGGAAACACTCGCCACCACTTCTTCACATCATCGTAAAAAAAAAAAAAAAACCCTTACAAGTTTACTTTAAAAATCGGTTAATACTGTGCACTAAATCCGCGGCATACAACCCAACGTGCCACAGCGATTGCACGATGTAAATCATTTCTTGCTTCAGACGAACACATACCAAGTGGTCCTGGCGAGTAATGAGCGGAGGACGTACGTGATGTTCAACTACGAGAAGATCGACTGGATCGCGGTGAACGACGTGAACAACGGCGAGAACGGCGAGAACCCCTTCGTGGGCTTCAACGCGGGCAACACGACCAGGTACTACGAGTTCCTGCCGTACTCCCAGGAACCCCGCGTCAAGAACCTTCCGCAGCATGGCGAAGGGAACGGAATCAAGGGACGCTACATCTTCCAGATCGACGAAGAGATCTGGCACGGCTCGTGCATCAAGTGGGGTCAGTATCAGTAATGGCATAGACCAAGACGAGCGTGGGCTATAGACGTCAGCTGGGGGCAGAACGCTTTTATTATTCTTTCCCACACATTCCGAACAGATGGCCGTGGGGTTTAGGGCCACAGATGTCTTTCTTTGTGTAGTCAAAGAAATTATCCTCGAAGACCTAGAAAATCGCGTTATCGGCAAATTTATTATGTTTCTGTCCACCAACATAAAATATCGAAACATACACAAAGAAATGTCACGCTTTTAAGGTGTAAAAAGGGTGTTACGGGGACTTACACCCATGGCTACACCCTTTCAGCACCTTTATTTCAAGTAAAACACAATTTTTAATCCTGGAATAGGGTTCTGTTGCAGGGAACGCCTTTCACTTATGAAGAGTGTAAAAAGGGTTCGAAAAAAGTGCAACGGTGAAGTGAGATCACCCTTCATTTTTGAAGGGTGTTTGCTGCACTTACATGTACTTCAAACAGCTTGTTTTTTTCGACTAAGTGAAGTAAGGGTTGCCTAGACTAATGCTTTTTACCTTTAGATACCTTCCTTGAACACAAAAAAGCAGCACACGTGCAACTTTCGTAATTGCGAAAATGGTCGCCTGCGAATGGGTGTCTTTGACTTGTCGATCACATAAGTTGGTAGAGCAGTCCACAGGTTCGGGATTCCTATGTCGTGCGCAATCCATTGCATTTGTATTTCCTATTTCTGCCCATGCGAGAACTGTTTGTGATGCTTGCTGCTTATAAACTTGTTGCTTGTCAAATAGTATCCCGAAAATGGATCGCCAACATCCTATTTTTAGGGTTTTCACCAACATCCTAAGATTGCTGCTGTAACACCTTTAGGGTGTTAACCCTGGGACAAGCTGATGTACACCCTTAAGAGCGTCAAACGTTTTAGTGGGTAGCTTTCTACTTAGGACAGTTTTGGTGCATGTCGGGGCTGCTTAACTTGGGAAGCGAGGTGTCCAAGTTGGACAACTGTCTATCAAGAGACATATGCTGCATCGGTTGTCAGAAAGCGTCCCAGCCTTGGAAGTTCCACTCGATTCGCCAACGACCGCTGACCGCCATCGGCGATTGTCGCTGAAAGGGAGTTTATCGCTTGTCTATACCACTGCAGCTGACTAGACTTCTACCAAGCGGGACTCGTCCATAAAGGGAAGGTGAAGGGGTGCTTGCATTTGAAAAGATAAAGTGAAAATGTTAATGTGGGCACTTAAAAATGAGGTGTCACAAGTTTTCTTTAGATTAGATCTTAATATTAAGAGCGTCCTAATCGCAAATTAAAACTTCGACGTAGCCATGCCCGTTGTGGCGCTCTGAGCACAGGAGAACAGTAAAGCGGAGAGAAACACCAGCGAAAGCGACGTGAGATGACCCTTGCTCGCCACCACGGCAATATATATATATATATATATATATATATATATATATATATAACAACTTGGTCTCCACTAAACTGGCTCGGGGATGCCAGCGATGATGTCACGACGCTTTGGACAGATAACAGACGGCGAAAGGACTTGCATACCCAGCGACAAATGCTGCACATCTTTGACAAAATAAATGCGGTTTACGTTTACTTCTGCCCGAGTTAAGTGCGAGAACAAATTTCACGGGACAAAAAGCTATAGGAGTTCGCTCCTAATTAAGATTTCTCGAAAAGTGCTTCAGATTCATGTCAGCAACAAACACGGGCTGTTTTCTCTGTTTTCCAGAGCTGGTCCCGGGTCGTACCACTTCCCGTCCTCGGCTGACCTTCTTCCCCAAGTACGCCAGCATGTTGGGAGGAGCCATCATCAACGTGACGGGACCCTGCTTCGAACCCAACGAGAAGATCGAGTGTCAGTTTCAGGACATGTCGGGCCACAAGTTGCCGGCCATCTACAGGGACACCAACCACGCCAGCTGCCTCATGCCTCCGGTCATGTTCCATGGCTACGTGGATCTGACCGTGTCCCAGGGCAGCAAGGACGCCATGTTCAGCGGGCGCTTCTACGTCCGTAAGTGATCCTCAACAAACGCAAAACAAACTTCTGTTTCTTTAAAAAAAAATATGTTTTATTTAACCAAATTAGATTGGGAGAAGCACGGCCCTTACATGGGTTGTTTTTCTTGTAATGATTAGGCGTGGAAAAGTGCATGGAAGAGGGAACCCGCCGTTACTCGGACTGGCCAATTCGTTAGCCTTCTTCTGGAAACTGTTGTGATGGGCTTTTTGTGGAACATCCCAGAAGGAAGCAAGAAGGCCAACCCCTGGAAAGGGAAGAGGGATCGGGGAATGTACGGACAGGACACAAGAAGTCCCGAACGATTCATTAGGAGCCTGCACACAGCTGATACCACTTTATTAATTTTGTATTCTTGAGACTTAAATAACGGGTAAACTCGTCCATGAAGCATACGAAGACTCGACAACGAGGCATACGGATATCCTGATTCTCTGTGTGTACTTAATGTCTCTCGGATGAAGCAAAAAAAAAAATATATATAATAATAACTGAGGCCTCTTGATTGGCTGCATCATCGTAAAATCGGAACGATTGGTTGATGGCGTGCGGCGGGGGGGGGGGGAGGTTACCACGAGAGCAAGGATTTCGAGGGGTAAGGATTGGCAGTTGTGAGAGCCGCCCCGGCACACTGCCCGCCTTTGGTTTCATGCAGAGCCTCCAGAATTAGCAGCAGAAGACATCGAGATTTTGGACGACAACGACAAGGCCGAAAGGCCCGAGAACATTCGCATCAAGTGGCACCCGCACAAGCTTATCAATAACAACAACACCAACGTCCAGCTCCACCTGTGGGGATACAAGTGAGGCTTCGTCTACGTATCGTGTGTCACGAACGTACGCTTTACCGGGTCGACCCAATCAGCGCGAAAAATGAAGGGATGCGAGCGAATGACAAAACTTATAACAAGATCTGAAAAAAAAAAAAAAAAAAATGATGTGCTAACTAGTGAGAAAGTGAAACGTCGTGCTCACTATCCCTGCACACATCAAATCTTATTGGCCTAATTGTATTTCAAGCCTCGTCATTCACTCGGATCCTCTTACTGTCCGCCGTGATTTGTAGCCTCGTGCTCTGCAATAAAGTGAATTAACGGACAAGCAAAGGGACTCGATTTCGTGTATTGCGAGGAGGTAGGACTTTTTAAAAAATGCTAATGTTCCTAAAAGCCTATACGGTTTAATCGAATGTGAGCTAGTGACTGTCCCTTTGCGAGTTCCACGGGAATTTTCACGGTGACCTTATGCCGAATCTTTGGTTCTTGCTGACCGCAGTGACGACCTGGAGTACCCTCAGTTGACGTACATCGACTCGCTGTCGGGAAGCATGAGGAACGGCGACATGCGGTACACCATCAACGTTGAGCAGTTCCGGGAACGGTACAACTGGGACAAGCTTAACTACCAGTTCGGCTTCCTCAGCATCAACCTCACCGACCCCAGCGTCATCGCCAAGGATTACAAGAATTCTCCGTAAGAGGGTGTAGCATTTTTGTTTTTCTCCTCGAACCGATGTCGTTTTTTTTTCAGGTTCCATAACAGCACCGCACTAAAAACTACCGTGCTACGCGGAGTTATTGTTCTGAGCTTGTTAACTTATTGCGGTCTAGTTTTGATTAGATTAGTTTAAGAGAAAGTTAGTCTATATGAGGTTGCATTATTATGTTTTTGACGCTACAGCGCCCAATTTCCTTTACTGTTCACCAGGCTGGAAATGTGCGTAGAACGGTATTTTGTGCACAAAACAAAATTAAACGAACTTGAATTTGTGAAGAAATGTTCATTGGTTGTATATGATGTCATCACTAGCTGTTCACGCTTCTCAAGCATCTAGTGATCACAACTGGACAAATCTGAGCCGCGGGTTGTGTATTTAAAACCAGTGAAAGCAGATCTGAATATACGACAAGCTAGGAAGTCTTTGTTCCACACATGGCATAAAAAGTCTCGCGCAAATGCTGTGCACTCAGAAGAAGTCTCAATCAGAACGCTTGTGTCTCCTGTAGCACCATCTGGAGCAGACCGATGCCCCTGGCCTGGTACTTTTCCCACCAGTGGGAGCGGAGGTATGGCAGCGGATGGAAGGACAAGTTCTGCGACGACTGGTTCCAGCGGGAGAAGAACTCGGACCGCTTCGCGCTCACCCTGTGGCGGTGCCCGTGCACCATGAAGCAGTCTGACTTTGACCGTGGCCGATTCGCCCCGGACTCCAACTGCAACACGTACAGCAAGAAGTGCGAGCCGCTGCACAAGGGAGCCCAGCACTGCGTCCGAACAGGAAGGCCATCGTGAGTCGGAACTTTAATGACTCTGTTCTTGTTCCAGGGGTTCAAACAGTAGTCTTGCACACTCTTGAAAGAAAAAAAAAAAAAGCCCGTGCTTCAATTTTTTTTTGTAGCACACTGGGTTTAGCCGATCACTATGATAGATTAAGCATAGAATAAGAAATATATCTTTCATTCGGATACTGACGGTGCGCAATGTCATGCTCAGTGTCCCAGTGCAGATCATGTGTTTTGGTCGAAGCGCCCCGGAGTCATTCTTTCGATTGCTTTCGTGCTTCAAAATGATGACGAAGAAATGTATTTAGAAGGCAAGGGCCTTCTGATCTGATGGGTAATGGGAGGGAGAGGAGGGGATTAGGTTGTCGTCACAATGTTTGCGCTCCAGTGCACACTCCCAGGGAGAGAGGTAGCTAGGTCTCTCTGCGTTGTTCAATGGGCCGAGTCCATGCTCGTACTATGAGCGAATATGTGCGGGTCGGTGCTTCTAGCGGTGGGGCTGCAGTTCAGGGCAGTCCCATATAGAGTGTTGTATGGTGGGTCGGGTTGACTGCTGGCAGGAAGAAGAGGTTGGGTTCTGAGGGCTGCTCTTGGTCCGGTGGCATTGCCATTTAAGGGGGGGGGGGGGAGGGGGAGGGGGAGGGGGGGGGGTCAACTGTAATGGTAGATCTTGTGATCGCCTTGGCGGATTTAGGATTAAGCCCCCAAGATCAACTTTTCTTTTTTTTTTTCAATGATAAAATTGGTATACATCAGGCAAAAGATGAGATTTTGGTGACATAGCAAATATTGGGTCAACAAAACAGATCTGGGCAACGTTTCAGCCGTCGGATGTACACTGCTCCGTGGGCTACAGTGGAATCTTTGGGGTCATGAACAATGCTATAGTTAGGAAATAACTGTAGTATCTCACAATGCTAGGTGTTGCATACCCCGCGTTTCCTGAGGCAGAAGAGCGTGCGGAGTCATTCGCTCAGTTTCGCTGTATCGGCCTGAAGGCTGCGGCAACCCCACGAAGTGTATACGGTTAAGGATGGTCATGTTGGGGTGAGCTGCTGCGACGATGGTGCGCGGCTTCCTGACGATTGAACAGTCTCAATTTTTGGAAGCAGTGTCTCCAGTAGCTTTTCCAGTCTAGTTAACCACGCATTGCGGGCTACTATTCGTTTGCCTAAGCGTTCGTAAGCGTCCTTGTGGGCTGGTAAGGTGCCACACTTTCCGCACACCTGGCTATAAGGGCAGTGTTTCTGCATGTGCCCTTTACGGTGGCAGCGGTAGCAGATGAGGGTGTGCGGTATGTATGGAGACACCTTGCGCAGTTTGCTGTAATATCGGACAATTCGGGGGAGCTGTGGCGTTTCAAAATGTGATGACGCGCGGTCTTGTTGCTCTTTCATGCATGCGTCTGACTCCGAGAAGCTTCGCTTACTCGCAGCGTACAACTCCTTAGAGGTTGTCGTTGGGGGATCCGGAATCAATGGTGATGACGTCTTTGGCTGTGCCGATGCCGAACGTCTCGCGGGTGTCCATTACGATGGCGTTTCATGCATTGAAACAGAGATGGAAGCCACCTCGCACAAATTGTCGGCATGTCGCTCGCTGTACACTGTGACGGCAATCGCATTCGTTCGATGGTTGGTGTGCGAGCTCGCATGGTCCGCCATGATGGCCGATGGTGCCGTGGTACGGATAAATTTGAGGAGAGTGTCTTTGTTGATCTCAGTTACTGCCCCGTACGGTGAGGGAGCACTACCACCATGCCGTGCCGCATTCGTCCGACGTCCACCCGTCGGGGGTTGGTGGATCTTTTCCCGTACCTGACTGTAGGCCATTCAGGGTCGCTGTTGTGCAAACCGACCGCACTGCCAGTGTCGTCCGAGCTTCGTTCTCGGGTAGAGATTCCTTCCGCGGAGGCATGTAGATTGCCAAGCTCGAGTCGTCTAAAGGTTGTTGCCTGCCGCCGTCGATGGATTCTTTTCAAGCGAGTAGCACGGTTGAGTGAGCGGTGTTCATGGTTTCGCTCATGTTTCTGTATACGTGCAGGTAGCCCTGCTCCTGGCTAAGCCTAACTCAGCGAGCGAAGCCTACACCAGGACGGTCCAGGGCCTAAAAGGCCGAACAAAATTATTTCGCCCTCAAATGGTTTGGGGGGGGGGGGGGGGGGAGGGGGAGGGGGGCGTTCATTAACCGTAGGGGAAGGTCAGGGCGATTAATGGTGCGCGTAGGTGCAAAATGTTCCTATATACCGACTTTAAAAGAACGGAGCGATGAGAAACGCGTTCTCTCGCATCGACGCGCCATCTACCATTCCCTGATTCAGAATGATTCCCTGAACATATGACATACAGTCTAGTCTTAGAGCGCTCACATTATTGAAAATTAAATAATATATCGCAGTTGCCTTACGTCTAGCACCTCAGATTAATAAATGCGCATGATTAAACCACTGGGTTTAGAACACATTAACAGGAATAATCGATTGATTGCTTCGATAGTATTCATCGCACGTCTGATCAAAACATTATTCGGTGGCGCAATTATCCCGTGGAACAAACGGAAAAAAGTTACTGCTTAACGTCTGTTTCGTATGCGAGTTTTTATAATTCCTCCTCATGTAAACATGACAAAAAAAAGAAAAAAAAAGGAGATGAAAGGTTAGCGCATGACGTTTAACCTCGATGAGAAAGGGATTCGAGATGCTCGCTTACAGTGTAGGAGGGCCCCAGTTTTGTCGCTATAGGTTTTTGCGTTTAGTTAGTGGACATGCATGCAGTTTTGACTCGCAACTTCTAAAAACCTGCGCCATCCTGCAGTGTCGGTGGGTCTGGCCAGACTTGCTGCTATGACATGGAAGGAGAGCTCATGCTAACCGCCGACACCATGTATGGAGGCCGACCGTCAAGAATCTTCAGCTACGGTATCCTGCCATTCAACAGCAGGGTTAAAGTAAGTACGATAGTGTAAAATAAATAATATATCACCGTCCCAAAATGGAGTATAATTTGATTTGTAGACTGGCACGCAATAACATTAAAGTTATATCGATATAATGACGACTAACGCAAGTAAAATGCAAAGTGTCCCCCCCCCCCCCCCCACAAAATTAGTTTTTTTTTTTTTTTTTTGCAGAAATAAATTACGCATTGTTTAATGCTCACTCTTAGCCCAAAGGTAGCGCTAGAGGTCCAATCCAGATGCCAAGGTTTCAGCACGAACCGATATCTTAATCAAGAGTTATAAGTGACTTTCTGAAGATTTCAATAGGAAAATGGCAGTTGACGGATCCTCTCGAATACATGGAGCTCTTAGCACCAGAAACCGAAAATGGGCAAAAATGAGCCCCATTTTCCCAATTAAAATTTTCATATAATCACTTATAACGTTTGATTAATATATCGGTTCGCTTTGAAACTTTGGCATCTGATTCGGACCTTTAGCACTACTTTTCAGGGGTGAGCGTTCGCCAATGCGTAAAGTATTTTTGCGGTGAAAAAAAAAAACAAAAAAAATCTGTCAATTGTTTTGGGGGACACCTTGTACAAGACGGTTTTCATTCACAGGTCCCAACTCTGTCCTGGTGGAACGTCGACGCTGTACCCTTCTTCTATTGCTGCCACTGGCAATATGGCAAGGATGACTCCGAATCGTGCCAGAAGTACAAGTACTGGAGGACGTCTCAAGACTGTTCCGCCTATCAGCCTCCTGGCTATGGTAAGTCTTCGCTTTATGGCAGAAGTATAGAAAAAAGGCTTTAGCAGAAAACTATATCACTGTTTCGCCCATCAGTACAATAGAAACTCAGGAAATACTTTCGAAGACAACCATAAGACCGTTGTGCCTATCGACGTTGCGGGTATGGTTTTGGAATGGGGCTCAAAGGAATCATTGGGCAGAAAATCACTATGGCGCAGTGCCTGTGGCCGTTTCCTTCGAGACATGTACCGTTGTCAGCGCGTCTAGCCGACTGACGTCGGCGGATCGCACTAGATAGACCGTCAATGATTCGGCAGTTTTCCACTGCAATCAACGACAGCTTGAGAAGCGCAGAATATGTCCAGAGCATCTCATTATCGCTCAGCAGCCAATGAGGCTGCGGCATCAGTTGTAAAAAACACAAAAGAACCAATCACGAAGCAGTATCATAATAGGCGCGCCCTCCGTTTCTCAAGGTGAATAGTACTAAAATAATACAATCTTTTTTTTTTTAAACACTGTTTTATCCTCTGCTACACTACTTTATTTTCCTTTCTTCTACACTGCGGATTCTTCTCTTTCTTCAGCCGGTCTCTGGTGGTTTAAGAAAATGGTAATGCAGAAATCAACTCTCCAAAACACTAACTAAAAATATATATATTTTTTTGTTGTTTTTTTACGAAACTTGTGTGGGGAATCAGGGTCACGGCTCAGGACGTTCATAGCTGTAGAAAGGCAACAGATAACAGGGCAAGGCTAATAGTATATATTTCTTTCCCTTCGGTTTCCAGCGGCCGTATTTGGAGACCCGCACTTCCTGACGTTTGACGGCGCCAACTACACGTTCAGCGCAAGGGGCGAGTTTGTGCTCGTCCGCGTTGACGACCCCAAGGGGAAACTCGAGATCCAGGGAAGGTTCGAGAGCCCCAAGAGAACGCAACTTGACGGTGAGAATTACTGCAGCGTGCAAATCGGTGTTTATTCTACATTTCCGACAACGGTGTGTTTCGGCAGCTACTTGTACCGCTTGCATACATCCAGATCGTAAAGAGGCCGTAACCAGACGGGGGCTACCATAGATAGAAGTTGTGGATGATCTGGGCTGGTTATTGTCGTAAATTTGACACCCCCCCCCAAAAAAAAACAAAAAAACAAAACAAAAAAACAATGTGACTGCCGTAAAAAAAAAAAGTTAATGCATTTCTTTTTTTTAGCTCGCAAACGATTAGTAAATGTGAACTTTCAGTGGTTAAGATTTTGCTCCAAACTACCATTTGCTTTTATATTTAGAGCTTAATTTCCATTTTTGACGAATACCTTGACACAAGTGCAAATGGCTCGTTTTTCATGACAAAGGCACAATCTCATATTAAAGCGACTAGGGAGGAGATGCGAACACATGTTTAACTCCTACAAAGCATGCAATAGCTTATTAAAGTACGGTTCGAGTGGGCTCCAATAGTAAAGCATACTTCGCTGTTCAACCACAAGCAATCTGCTTTTGTCTGCGTTGATACCGCTACCATTTAGTTATAAAAATAACCGTCAGTGTGCGTAATACCCGTGCCACACGGGCAACTCGAATGCCATTTAAAACGAATGACATTTGAACAATCGGCCAATCAGCGCGCGACACTCCGAGCGTGGGGCGTTCCATGCGCGACAGATCGCGAGCCGATTCGTTGATCACACGAATGTCATTCGTTGTAAATGGCATTCGAGTTGCCCGTGTGGCACGGGTATAAAATACTCCCATTTCCTGTATAGTCACAAGTTTATTTGTTATCAGAACTCAGGAGAATCGTGTGACCAGCGGTTATTTGGTAAGACAAATAACACAACGCTTCTGTGCCGAGAAAACGTTCGTTTATTACAAAAAAAACAAAAAAACAACAACAACAAACAAACACGAAGATGGGAAATAAATTAATACACTGTATCTGAAAAGCTTACGATAACTTTAAAGCAGACACTTCCGGTTGATTGACATGGGCAAGAGAAGTCGTGCAATTGTTTTGAATTCTTGCACCCCAGACACGATCGTGAACGGCACGTATCTGAGCGCGGTTGCCGTGAGGGACAACACGTCGTCGACCGTCGAGATCCACCTGAGGCCCAGCGCTGCCCGCTGGAACTACCAGCTCTACCTGATCGTGGACAGCGAGTTCATCTACTTCTGGGACGAGACCATGCGCATACAGAACTTCAAAGGTGAGCCCGTTTGAATGTGGAATCATGGAAAATTCTCTGAGCGTTTGGAAAAACAAATGTACGTCAAATGCCTCGATACTTCAGATACCTCGAATGATTTCCTGCAACAAAACTGAAAACACGCGTGCATTATGGAAAAAAAAACACGAAAAAACTATGGTATTGTTCAGGAAAAAGCTTTTTCCGAAGAACAGTTTGGCAGTCGCCAAGAAAAACATATCCAAATATTTTCAAAATCTTTCTTTCCAGCGTGTGTTTCCACTATAACACACTTTAGTTCTTTTCAGAACGAGACAAGAAGTATATCGCTTTTTCTAAATAAAGTAATGTTTGGAGACACGTCAATTATTAGGAGCTTTGTCTGAGAGCAAGAGTATTTTCATGCGCTCCCTGATTGCCACATACGATACAAAACCTAGAACTATATCCGACATAACTATTTTAGCACAGTTGGTTTCACGTTGCTTCGATGTCTCTTTCACCAGGAGTGACCATCTACCAGCCTACTGGTTACTACAACATGTCCAAGATCGTGGCCATGTTTGATTCTGGAGCGGGAGTCGAGGTCCTTGTAAACAACGAGCAGCTCACCCTCAACGTTTTCTTACCGATCGAATTCATAGTGAGTGGACGCTCAGAACAACATCCTGCGCCGCGTACACACGCGGACACTGAAGCGTATTTCAAATGTGCATCGTGTGGACGACGAACGTGGCGCAAACACCCCAGGTGCAATACACTGGCCACTTTGAAATCCCGATGGATAACGCGATCGTGGCATAATTTTTATCTCAGTTTCTATTGCTTGACTTCTTTTTTAGAGCGCAGCTTTACGACGACGACGTGAAACCCAGAAACGGGTTTCGCGGCGTCGGCGTAACCGCATTATTAAATTTAGCAGGAGACTGGTGTTGAGGTCACGTGACATCAATTTTCCCGCTAAATTTAGCGGGGGAAAATGACGTCACATGACTTTGTATCACGTCATTTATAAACAAATTCAGTTTTTCTGCTAGATTTAGCGGAAAAACTGACGTCACGTGACCTCAAAACCAATCTGAATTGTACGGAGGAGGAGAAGGAACATACCCTCCCCTCCTCCTCCTCAAGAGCTGCGCTCTAATTTCGCGTTACAGAGATTTGTAAACGTCTTTCATTTTCTTTCTCTCTCCCTCCCTGAAATTAACAGTAGAAGTTTTGATGGCTTCTTCTAGTTCTTGCATAAATTTCGTGAAATAATATTCATATAACAATTACGGAAAAGGTTTAGATCGGAAGTTACATATCTTTCTTTAAAAGTTTTTTTATTATTATTTTTTGTTTTTTTTAGTAGTGAAAACGAGAAAAAGAATAATGGCGAGATGATCGACAAATATCATCTGCTTTCTTTGAGGTTCTTCAATCCGCTGTTCAGTCTTTATTAAAAAAATGTCGATTCTACGATTGACATAATTTCATAACCTCAGCTACTCCAGGGATCTAGGATAACCTAAAGGATTAATCATTATACCATGTAAGATTTGAATATCATTCTTATAAAGAGAACGCCTGATCTCTTTAAACTTAATAACAAAACATCCGATACCTGCTTGTTCTATGGCGTAGTCCAAAATGAGTTTCTTCCAAAATATCACAAAACCTTTAAAAAGAAAAAAAAGAAACAACGTCGAGTACTGCACACATCAAACATTTAGCGGGTGCACCGAGTTTGGCGCCGAGAATTGCGATTTTCAAGGTTTGAAAGTCATTTCAACTTAATACAAATATTTGCCTTCAAAACGCTCATGAACGAAAAATGTTTTTACGCAGAATATCACGAGGGGCTTACTGGGATTCTGGGACAGGCGCGTGGAAAATGATTTGATGCCACCTGTCGGAAACTCCTACACCCCTACCACGGCCTCTTTCGAGCAAATCTACAATCAGTTTGGAAACCTGTGTAAGTACAAGTAGCTTGCAGTCATCAAATCGCGTTAGCCTTTTTGCTGTTTGAGAATTCCGAATAAACCGGACGGTTTATTCACGTGCGCTATCAGCTGAAGGGCATAAAAAATGTCTAACTGTCGAGACCGGTTATAACGAAGTCGGATGTAACGAAATAGCGGCTACAGCGAAGCGATCAAGATTTCCCATTCCCTTTTTCACTTTTTTATAACCGAAGTCGGTTATAACGAAATAGCGGAAGTAGCGAAGGGATTTCCGATTCCCGTTGACTTAATTATAACCGGTTTCGACATATATTATGATGCCGCAAGTTGAATTATAAAAAAAAAAAAAATAAAGTCGGTGACAGGTTAAGAATCCGGTAAGAGCCCCGTCTCCATCACGCGCTTGTTATTTTCCGCCTGATTCGTCTGCACATGCGAGGAATTGTTATAAAAGGCTGGAAGTTTGCGCTGGAGGTGGAGCATCTACTTTATTCTTAACTTGTCATCGACTAGTTTTATTTAAACATCTCATTCTGTCGTTTAACCGCCGCCAAATCTATGTTACCAATTTATCACCCCGATATAAGCATGTTTAATTAACCTAGCTCTCGACAGCATGTGTTCTGTGATCTCTTTGTCCCATATAATATAATGATATCACTCTATTCATTTTTAACAATCAGCAAGGTGCAACTTTATCAACATCTCTGTCCATAAAATGAAAGACATTCACCTTGTTAAATTGTGAGCAGAGAGATCACTGTTTCACTCCGGCTTCCAGGGCGTCTAAACGAGTCGAGCGCCTTGTTCAACCACGATGCCATTGGCTACAAGTTTGGACACTACGACGACCAGTCCTTCAAACCTTACCTCGAAGACCCGCCGCGAATACCACAGAACTTCACGTACAGACCGCAGGACGTCGCGGACGTGAGTATAGACCTTGAGTTGTCATGCCAGTTAAGCTTTAGCAGCTCACATGGCAAACTCGCAATACAAATGTTCATAATTTACTTGAAATTCACTCGCTTTAAATAAACAAGTTATACTAATTCCTGCTGACAATTACGTTTCCATGAAGCAAGCTTCAGGAAAGATAACAAACAAATGCTTGTTTGAATTTTTTTTTTTCTTTCTTTGCTAACTGTTTTATGTAAAAGATTTTTGACTGTATGGAATAAATATTTAGTGCAACAGACGAAACCTGGTCACAAGCGTAACCAGAAGTGTCTTTGAAAGCAGGTGGCGCCGAGAGAGCAGCGCAATGACAAAGCAAATTTCGTTGCATAGTATATAGTGTTTAGATCAAATGGCAAAACGTCTACCCTTACACTTCTGTGTTACGATGGGCTTGCGTCAGTCGGTTCTTGTAGTAGAATTATACAAGAGACTGGCACTATCAATAGAGAAATGGAGAGGAATAGACAGTGCTGCCCAGTTTCCTACAAACACTACATATGCTCTCATTGGCCGCTAGCTGACAAGGGAGTGTGTGCATGTGCGGGGCTACACTTTAGAATGGTTAGCTAACATCTGAATTGCGATTCTTCTTTTACATTTCCAGACTTGCTCGTCATCCAAAGCTTGCATCTTCGACTTTATCGTCACAGGGAATAAGCACTACGCCGCGACCACCAAAGCCAACGAAGCAGCTGTCCAGTCAACACGCAAGGAAGTCAGCGAGGAAGGTAGGTTTAGCTATCGCCTTACCGAACTAAAAGAAGCAATGTATACGTGTGCAGAATCTTTTTTTTTTTCTTTTTAAGGTGAAAGTTTTACTTTTTAAGTAAAAGTGCCCTCAATTTCTTTTTATTACTTTTGCACGTTTGAATTTAAAACAAGTGGCGGTTACGTGAATAAATGCGATCCTTAGAGCTCTTTGTTAGCCTGGTAAAAGTTTAGAAAACAAAACGCCGGGTATGAGACAAGTTCCGAGCATTATTATCACTCCACAGTCAATCGGGCCCCGGCATTAGCTGACGCTGAGAAACCATTATTTCGGAACAAATCATGAAGATAATAACGTTGCTTATCTTAAACTGTTTGTGAATACATGGAACAATAATCGCCTGGGCGCTGCCATCTTTGTTTGCAGGGCTGTGGAAGGCGTCCTGAGCGTGCGCAATAGCTCTCTTCCACGAAGTATGAGATGCCGCGCACGCGTCCATAGCCCAGTGACTCAGCGTTTTGCGCCTGGGTGTTAAGCGCTGCAAAAGGCTTATCCGCTCTCTCTAGCGCAAACTGAAACGCGGTAGCGCCAGTGTGCGAATAGCTCCCAACCGCTTCCTGTTATTCGCGGTATCTGCGAAATCAAATATATACGCGCTTTCATCAGGAAATGGCCTTTTATATAGCACTGTCAGACTTAATTCACTCTTATGATAAAATAATGACAAGTAAAAATCACGAAATATACGTGAACGGGAAGTGTGCTGTGGGTACCCAATAGACGGCGCCACTGAGTTTGTTGCCAAACAAAAAAGGGGCGAATACGGCCAGCAACTTTAAGTGTTCCAAAATGCGCCTTCGGCACATAGGAACGCAGGGAGAGGCACCCAATCAAAGGACAACATAGATAACGCGTAAGGAATTCACGATGATGAGGCAGCCAAGCGCGCGCTGTGGTTGATTGTGGTCGGGGGTAAACAAAGGCACGTGGACGGATTTGGCAGTAAACAAAAGCACGAGGTGCGCAGAGAGCAAACGAACCTGCACGCCGTATTTCCGAACTACAGGGGCCCCAAGCCGCCTGCTGCGATCGGTCAGCGGTGCGGACCTGGCCAATCACAGCAAGCGGCGATGTCCCGGTCCCACAGTGTAAACTAACCCCCCCCCCCTAAAAAAAATATATATATAGGGTGGCTAAAGTCGCCAGGCTCGATCTAAAATGGACCGTAAAAATCGACGCCTGCCCGTAGCCCCTCAAACTTTTCGTCAAAGGTGTATTTCATAGGTCGGTTTTTTCTTGTAGAATTACAAAGCGTAGTTCTCTTTCTGTAAAAAATAAGGCCAAGAAACTTGCCTGGGTCAACGGCGGGAGGCGACGCAGACGACCAAGTCAAGGTGCGGGGTGTGTTTGACACTCCTATTGATAGATGGCGCTACCTCCTTGTTTCCGTCAGAGTTCTGGTTTCGGTTTGCTTTCAATGAAATATCGAAAGTGCCCGCGTCGACCGTGGTTTATTGACACCAACATAATCGGTTTTGTAATCTACCTTTGGCGTGAAAATAAATGCAGACAATGATAGAAAAACTTCAAGTAACAAAAATAAAAGAAAACGCGGTTGCATAACGACAACGCTGACGGCGCTCTTGCTGCCGGCGGATTTCGTCTGCGTGTCGTCTGCTTTCTTTCGCTGGTCGGTTGCATCCTCGGACGCTGCTTCCGAGACCTTTTTTTTGTTTTGTTTGGCCGCGGTTGGTGGAGAGACAGCCACCATGCGTCACTTTGGATGCTATTTACACCGCATGCACTTTTGAGACACGGGAGGCTGCCAAAGCAAGCTCCAGATAAACAGCAATTAATGGCTCTGAAAAGAGCCTGTCAGTAGGAGCCCGCGGTTTTCGCGGTTGTCAAAGCCGCTGGTCATATGTGCAAAATGGATAAATATGTGATCTTCAGTTCTCGTTGTCTTCAGTCCACATGTCCACCTCGAACTTGGAGGCACTTGTGCAGTCTTCGCTCATAATTCCTGAAGGCTGCCTCCCGCATGTTGTCCGTGATCGCATCGAAGGCGGATATAATCCGCTCTTTTAGTTCCGTCATCGAGCGTACGCGAACTGCGTAGACCTGGGCTTTCACAAAACCCCAAACAAAAAAATCACAAATTGTCAGGTCAGGGGACCGTGGGGGCCAGGGCATTGTCGGTGACCCTCGACCCATCCAGTTGCCGGGAAAGGTTCTGTCAAGCCAGTCTCTCACTGCGGTGGCGTAATGCGGTGGTGCTCCGTCTTGCTGGAAGATGCACACCTCCCTTTGCATGTGCGAAGCTTCCAGCTCCGGCAAGACGTCCTGTTCGAGCATGCGAAGGTAGGCGTCGCCGGTGACCGTGCCCTCAAAAAAGAATGGACCGACAACGCCTTCCCTCCAAAGTCCACACCATACTACGACCTTTGGTGACTGGATAGCCTCTTCAATGATCCAGTGGGGGTTCGTCTCGGACCAGCAGCGGGTGTTTTGCTTGTTCACGTGCCCATCCAGATGAAAAATAGCTTCGTCCGGGAAAAGCAGAAACGGAAGGTGGTTCCTGTTTGTGGAGATGCGCCCAAGTTCGTCCACGCAGAACTGCTTTCGCCGTTCATAGTCATCTGGCTGCAGCTCGAACAGAACCTGTGGCTTGTACGGATACATTTGTCGGCGGATCACCATCCAGACGAAACTTTTACTGATGCCAAGTTGTCTTGCGACTTGCCGCACGGACAGGCGTGGGTTCAATGCAAATGCCGCAAGCACGGCGTGTCGTTTGTTCTGCTGTGGCGACCTCTCTTCAAGTACTCGCAGCCTGGTCTGCACAGTGTTTTCCGTGTTGAATCGGTGCACCCAGCGCAGGACAGTCCGACGGGTGGGCGGACGCCTGCGAAAAGTGGCTCGAAACTTCGATCTCACTTGCCTCATACTCCTGGTTTCTGTAAACCAAAGGACTACTTTTGCCCTCTCTTCGACGGTCAGGTGACGCATTGTGGCTGTTTTCTCCCCAACCACGACAGAAAAGGTCTCGGAAGCAGCGTCCGAGGATGCAACCGACCAGCGAAAGAAAGCAGACGACACGCAGACGAAATCCGCCGGCAGCAAGAGCGCCGTCAGCGTTGTCGTTATGCAACCGCGTTTTCTTTTATTTTTGTTACTTGAAGTTTTTCTATCATTGTCTGCATTTATTTTCACGCCAAAGGTAGATTACAAAACCGATTATGTTGGTGTCAATAAACCACGGTCGACGCGGGCACTTTCGATATTTCATTGAAAGCAAACCGAAACCAGAACTCTGACGGAAACAAGGAGGTAGCGCCATCTATCAATAGGAGTGTCAAACACACCCCGCACCTTGACTTGGTCGTCTGCGTCGCCTCCCGCCGTTGACCCAGGCAAGTTTCTTGGCCTTATTTTTTACAGAAAGAGAACTACGCTTTGTAATTCTACAAGAAAAAACCGACCTATGAAATACACCTTTGACGAAAAGTTTGAGGGGCTACGGGCAGGCGTCGATTTTTACGGTCCATTTTAGATCGAGCCTGGCGACTTTAGCCACCCTATATATATATATATATATATATATATATATATATATATATATATATATATATATATATATATATATATATATATATATATTGCACATAATTGCGTACACAGTTGCGATCGTTGGCACTTCCTGATGTTCGTTGAAATATGTTATTTCAAAGGATAAAGATAAGGAGCCCTAAATAGCGTATCGTTTGTTCATCATTATAAACCACTTTTTGTCACCCCAATCGTGCTCCTGAGCATACCATGCCAACTTTTGTACCAACCTGTCACACAACGATTGTTTTCCGACTGTTCCTTCATTTAATGGCATTTCAGTGGAACTGAACTCGAATCTCCATGGTAGCCGATCCACCTCCTTTGAACTTTAAAGAATCTGGAGCAGTAGAAACTAAACAAATTACAAAGATAAAAAAAAAAAAAATAATAAAAAAAAAGTCGTTTACACTTGCCGTGTATTTGGAGACTTGACAACGATAGTGGATTTTCCTGCCTGCCTGCTCGCTCGTTGTGCTGCATTATTCAGCTCCCTTACCGCTCATTCACACTGGAAGCGGATCCGCATTCGCAAAGCGGTTGCCGAACGCGGTTATACAAAGATCCAGTACAATTGCACACGCACTTGATGACATCAAGTGCGCGTGCAATTGTACTGGATCTTTATACAACCGCGTTCGCAACCGCTTTGTGCACGCGGATCCGCTTCCAGAGTGAATGAGCGGTAAGTTCGTCTGCGGTGCACATTGCGTGAGCGGGCAGGTTTCGCTAATGCCGAGGTTGCGGCCGCCGACAATGTAGATGCTTGAGGCGCCGCCATGTTCGTCGGCGTCGAGAGGAGCAGAAGCAGCAGAACGCGCGCCACAGTGTTCCTTTTATCGGCGCGGGGCCCGCGGCGCCATACGGTAGCGTTGACGCGCGTCAGCCAATGGGAGCCTCGTTCCTTGAAACTACGACGCGCGCTAGCCAATGGGAGCCCATCCATCAAATCGCTGCTAAACGACAGGCTGATAACGCCGGTTCGCTCCATGGGACAGTGAATGATTTCGCACTAAAAGTAGTCTGCGCTGCGACATTGAGCATGGTGAAGCAACCTGCTCAGTGCCATAGCGCAGGCATTTGTTTTTTTTATAAACACATTATCCATTTATTCATTTGCCAATATCCCAAGCTAGATCGTAGCGATTGGCTCTCTCAACTGCTTTGCGGGAAAGGGGGCGCTCCAGGTTTCTCAAGTGCACGCAGCTTAGCTGTCTAGATAAATGCACCGATCGGTTGGGACCGCCTCTAGCATTCGTAAAATTGTTTTCTACTACACAATTAATGTATGTGTGTTGTACATCCTTTTTATTGCAGTGATTCGCTGCCCCGCACTGGACAAACCGGCCAACGGACGCAAGAGCGAAATCCGGAACTTCGTGGGGCGCACCGTTCGCTTCTCGTGCAACGACGGCTACCGCCTGGTGGGGCACGAGGTCCGCCAGTGCAAGGAGTACGGACTCTGGTCCTGGGGTATCGACGTCACTTGCATCAGTGAGTGGATTTAATGGCTCTATCTAGAATTTCCACATTACATTCAACCACAATTATTTAATTATTGAGTACTAATACTTCCAGTCCCATTCGGAACTCTAAGGTGCTTACAAAGGTCTAATGATAAAACACTGCTTGGTGGTGCAGCTTACATAAATATTGGAATGAACATAATTGTACACAGATGAATCTACATATATGAACCATAACACAATACACAATGTGCAAATTTAAAAGAAACAATAAAAAGTACAAAGAATATGCAGTGGGCCAATGTTACAATATTACAGTAAGCCAATGGAATTCTACACAGGTCATGTGAGATAAAGGTCTAAGGAGTTTGCAAATGAATCGACAGACTTGAAGTGAACAAAGGTGTCAGACAAACAATTCCATTCAGACAGTACCCGCAAAAAAAAAAAAAAAAAAAAGAAAGTGTTAAAAGAAGTTGCAAACAAAGCTTTTGTACTTTGTTTTCTTTAAAGTCCGAGCGCTACCAAGACTACGAGCCAATGAGGCCAATCAAGTTTCTCGGGAAGCTCGATAACGGCATTGGGTGTACTATCGCGATCTGATTTAATAAAGTGTGAAGAGTGCGTCATGACATTGCATTTTTAGATGAAACATAGCCTAGGCAGTAATGATGAATATATAATATGCAAGGTTTTCTACCTCATTACCTATATCGCGAGACATGAACAAATAAAATAACGGACAAGATGACGCTCATAATGGAACAGCACGAATTTTACAGGGACAGAGGAAGGAACTGGACTGGTCAGTACTCGTCCTGTCCAGTCCTTCCTCTATCCCTGTAAAGTTCGCGCTGTTTCCATTAGGAATACATACCGACTCACCCAGCTATCCTGTTTGCTAAGATGACGTGGTTTTCTTGGGAATAAACCCAGCTGCATTTAAGATTTTGTGTCGTCTTGCAAGTTCTTTGATGTGTCCATGTCTTAGGGTTTAGCTAGGTTACGTTTCCTAACCAACTCACCTGCATGCTCTCGTTTCTCGAGATTTTCAAACCGGTTACATCTTCCTAACCACAAATGCTACATTCAAATGTTGCAGGAGGTTTTAGTGTAGGGCGTCCATGCTTGGAACTGGGACTTCCTTAAACTTAACTGATTCACGCCCATCGGAAGTGAGGCTCAATAGTGGTCACCAAAGGATAAGATCCTCATCTTTCAATGTCAAGCAAGTTCAATGTTGTTGCTGAGGCATTCTTGCTCCTTGCAGGCAACGCGAGCTACGCGAGGAAGATTGTGGGCATCACGCTGGGCATCCTGCTGCCCATCAGCATCATCTTTTGCCTCGTCTTCTTCTGTTTCTTCAAGAGGAACCGGCACAAGAAGAGCCACTACACCGGCTCCAACGGAGAGTGAGTCTAGCACTAGTGAATAATCCAACTGTAAAAGGGACTTCCACAATCAGATTTCACATTATTGTGTTCTTTTGAGAAAAAGAATCGACACAGATCTGCAACATTCTCCTAAAATGATGCTGAATTCTCGAGTCCAATGCCTTCGGCTTTGCACAGAAAACTCATAAATAAGCACATTCGGGCCCAGGGCTTTCCTACGAAATAATCCCTTGCCCTTGCTGAAAGCTTCGGATATTTCATAAACTAATTCTGCCAACTTTTCTTTTTTTTTACTTAGCAGCACTAAATGTTTTCTAATTACTGACACTCTTTACCTTCACATCAGAGTGGAATCGCACCATAAAAAACGGGCAGTTGCAAAATGGCCGACGTGTGTGATCAAATCGAAAAGACCGGTGGTAATTCACCAGCTGTTCAGAGTTACAGCGAAAACATTTTGCATACTTTTTTTTATCATCTTTTTTTTTTTTTTTTTTTTTTATTTCGTGATGATTAACAGCAGCCGATTAGACAGCTCGATTGGCTCCAGTTTTCCGTTCAAGTGGCTCTTTATAAAATGCGGTACTCTGAAAAAGTTCAGCAGCTCTAGATTTGCAAAGGTTCTTGTATTCTAGCTATAGACGCTTTCAGCGAGTCAGTTACTCGAGCTGCCACCAGTCGGCGCGCCCTTCGCGCGCTTTCCGGGTCGCCATAGCCGACCTTCAGTTTTGCGCCGTTGCTCCGCGTTGTGCGCTGCACAGGCCACTGCCGGAGCTTCGTTTTCGTGTCTTTTACGTTCCGCGTTGAAATCTTGTATTTTATTTAGGTCTTCTCGATATTTACGACTTTCATTTAATCATTTGATATTTATATTTCGACATAGCTCTTGTACTTTCTTATTTATGGAATGGAATCGGACAGCGAATGAATCGACGATACAAGATTATGAGGCTTCAATGACCGTAAGATCATGGCATTCTTACGTTTCTGTCGCTAATAAAGGCAGCCAACACTATTGCGACATATGTAAATTGATACTGGCGCAGTAAGGCTATCACAGTCGTGCTTCTCGCTGCATGTGCGCGCTCGTTTCCGTGAAGCCGACCAGCATGTAAGCGATTTAGCGTGCGACGAGACGAGCGATGGAGATTTCTCACTGTCGCCCGTCGCATCGCTCGGTTTTGGGATTTCTAGAAAACGTCGCTCACCGTCTTGGTCGCTTGCTCCGTCGCTTCCATGCGGTTTGCCTCGTCGCGCGACTGACTGAGCGACAGCGAAGCGGGTCGCCGTCGCTTGTCTGGTCGCTCGCCAAATCGCTTACATGCGGTTTATACTCAATTAATTTCGATGCACACAGCGTTGAACCATTGGCGCCTCGATATTAAGTATAAACCGCATGCAAGCGATTCGGCGAGCAACGAGACAAGCGACGGTGACCAGCTTCGCTGTCACTCGGGCAGTCGCGCGACGAGGCAGACCGCATGGAAACAACGGGAGAAAGCGACCAAGACGGTGAGCGACGTTTTCTAGAAACCCAAAAAACCGAGCGACGCAACAGGCGACAGTGAGAAATCTTCGTCGCTGACTCTCGTCGTTGTCGCCGTCGCTCGTCTCGTCGCACGCTAAATCGCTTACATGCGGGTCGGCTTTACGGAAATAAGCGCGCACATGCAGCGAGAAGCACGACTAAATAGCCTTACTGCGTCAGTTTAAATTTGCATATGTCGCAATGGTGTTGACTGCCTTTATTAGCGAGAAAAACGTTAGATTGGGATGAACTTACATGGTCTCTGAAGCCATAATCGTGTATCGTCGATCCGTTAGCTGTCCGATTCCATTTCATAAATAAGAAAATACAAGAGCTACGTTGAAATATAGATATCAAATGATTAAATGAAAGCCAGAAATATTGAAAAGACCTAAAGAAAACACGCGATTTCAACGCGGAACGTAAAAGAACGCGAAAACAAAGCTCCGGTAGTGGCCGGTGCAGCACACAACGCGGAGGAACGGCGGGAAACTGAAGGGCGGTTATGGCGGCCAGGTCACGTGACGTCAAGATGGCGGCGCCCATAAAATGTTGCCTGAAAGGGTCTATAAATGTGGGTGCTGAAATGAACTGTGGACAGGCAGAGGGAGTGCTAAAACAAGAAACAACCGCAACATCGGAGAGTTGGGGACTTAGAAGTGCTGCTTTTAAAGGTACCACTGTTTTCATTACAATTAACTAAGAGTAAAAATGTCTTTTTTTCTCCTCGAGTTTCAGCAAGTTCAAGGAGAGGAAGGCCACGACGTACCATGCCCCGGAGAAAGTGAGCGAGACCGCGGCATAACGGCACTTTCGTCGGCATTTCCCGATCGCCCGTTCAAGAGCACTGGAGCCCCACCCTTCCACTAAGCGACACACTGTACATAGAGTAGATACAGCGCACGATTTCCCTTAAATGAAGGTATGAAAACCTGCGCAGCAGAAGCTAGCTCGATGCTATTTGAGACATCACTGCCCCATTGACCAGACCTCAAAAGCATATTCCGTGATGCACCTTCACCTTTTTTTTTGCTATCTGCTACTATTTCATTGTTTCATACATATCTCACCTTTATGCCTAATAAACAAATGTCACTTTTACGTAATCTTGAAAATTATAACCTACACTTTTGATAAATCGTTTTGTTTAGCTTCTTTGCAGTCTGTAAGCACATTCACTTTTTTTTTTTACTTTGTTAGCAAGCTTTTGAGAACTGGCTTTGGCGTGCTACTACTAGGGTGCCTACATGTTTCCGGTGCGGCGGACGCATGTAGGCACCCTAGCTACTACCGTTTAAAAGAAATGGCGAAAAGGTATGTTTAACGACAAGTTAAGATTACTCCTTAAAACACAAGATTGTGGACAATCATGCTGCAGCTACTGTACAGTCAGAATTTGGCAGGAGCAGCTTTCATAAGGGGATGAGTACAAACACAGTAAAGCAGTGACTGTCTCCTTTTGGGCTGCCCCAGCTATTGTTGAAAGATCGAGAAATGAAGTTCCCCAAGTGCAGCATTTTCAAACTTTTTTTGAGGATGGCTTTATGCCCACAAAAGTTATTCAAACAGTAATAGGCATCGAAAGGATTGCGTTAAGTTATGCACCTGTTCTGCATTCATACTATTCCTTTATACTCTGCTTTTAACTTCCAAAGGGGCATATCATCCTTTATTTCTAATGCTTTGCTCCGATGCCATTCGGGCTAATTATCCGACAAGATGGTTCTTAATCTGCCATGAACCGTCTTTACACGAAACACCTCCGACGCGGGTGTTGTTTTTTTCTCCCTTCTGAAGTCATATTTCCAGTGTCATTGTTTTAACAATAAAAGTGCTAGATGAAGAAATGCCCAAACGCTCCAGTAATATATATGTTTATCGTCACCAATGCATCGGTCCCCTCGTCGCAATTGCGGGGGACCGTCACAACAGCAGGTGCCAAACCTTATAGAGACGGCTATGGCCAAGTGCTTTAAAAGACTGCCAGAGAAAATGTACATATAAAAAAGATACTTTTTATTTGACAGCGGCGTCGCTTCGAGACGTCCAGTGTGTGTCCAACATAAGAGACATGTCAAGTGTTCTTGTGGTGTTCTTCTAATAAAAAAATCTGGTTCTAAAAATTTTTTATTGGGTATTCCAAAAATTTTTTGACGACAGGGAACACCTGCGTGCCCCGAATACCTGAAAACGTCCCAACAGCGTATTCGGGAAAGCTTGCGAACTCAGTCCACGGGCCAATTTCGGCACTCTAATTGGCACGTTTTCATGGACGTCACGTCGCCTGGTTTATGAAAGGAGAGGAGCAGGAGGGGGTTCGGGGGCTTAGTTAACACGGTTGTGATTCACGCGCTATCCTCCCAGATTTCGTTAACGCATGTCGGATAATAAATCCGAGAGCAGGCTAGATGCTAGCGCGTAAATCACCGAGGCGTGTTTATGTGAGCCTCGCCCGTCCTCCCCCACGTCTCTCCACCCTCATGAAGAAGGCGACGCGACGTCCATGAAGACGCGCCAATCAGAGTGCCGAAAATGGCCTGTTAACTGACTTTGCAAGGTTTTTCGAATACTCGTCCCAGTGACATAAGGAAACAAGATATAAAGTCTGGTTCCCGAAGGAAAAAAAAAAGCTCAAGGTACACCTAAGCACTTCTCATGAGTTGTGAATGCAAAACCATGAATGCCGCTCGTCCGCTCCCTTTTTCGTCTGCTGCGTGCTTTTCGTCGCTGGGCACGCTGACCTTGAACGCTCCGTGTTAACAGCGTTCTGATGGACACGCAGCGCCATGGGGTGAGCGGTCGCGGCCAATGGGAGACGCGTCGACGCGCGCCAGCCAATGGAACTGAAGGCGAAATCCATCAGCTTTACTTTGCTTCTATTGGGATCGGGGAAACTAGGTGCCATTTTCGCGCTTCAAACTGATGACGTCAGCTCGCTCCATGGGACAGTTAATGCTTTCGCATTAAAAAAAGCAGCCTTGTGGACAGTTCAGTGCAGGTGGTGTACCGGGTCAATACAAAATAAAGCTGCACACGAAGCGCGATCAAAACAAAACTGTATTTCAAGTCCCAGAAGTCGCAAAGTTCTTGGGAAGCATGCAACGTCAGTGGGGGCGTTTTGCGGCCTCCGCTACCTGCCTTTCTGCAACAAGGGCAGGTAGCCGGAAGTCTCCTCTCCACTACGTAGCCTCACAACGCATTCAAGGGCACTCCACGAGTGTTCGAAAGCATCGCCCTTCTTTCACGTCACGGGCCAGGTACAAAATACAACTCTGTTGCAGGTGAAAGGGATACTGAACCGAAATGTCGAGCTCACAAAACTAGGCTGGACCGGTAGGCGGGACGCTGCAAAACCCAAAAGCACTCGTACAGCAATATCTCTAACGGATCGCCATATTTTTTGGAAAATAAGTGCGCGAATCAGCATGGCCGACGAGCCCGACCAGACAAGTTACGTTACGATTCTCATTCCCTCTTCTCGCTTCATCCCGTCGAGCTGGTGAACCGAAGCGAGGAGGAGAGAAGCGAGGCCGCTTCCTTTCATTCTCAACTGTTCCAGGAAAATCATAACGTCATGGCCCTCGCTTGATTGCGCCCTTCTTTTTGAAAAGTATGGCCATCCGTTTGAGATATCGACGTATGAATGATGTTTTGGAGTTCGTAGCGTCCCGTTCAACGCTTCTGCAACCTTATTTTGCGGAATCCAAATTTCGGTTCAGTATATCCCTTTAAGAAAAAACGGACAAGCTCCCCTTGCAAAGCCCTGCTCTCTTTACACACTAGGACAGCGAATGCTTGAAAGGAGGGGAGAGAGAACTCGCTCCTTCGATGTTCGCTCTGCTAAAGTGGGAACGGTGAAGGGCTTTGTGGGAGGAGCGTGTCCCACTACCCACAACAGTAGCTAGTGTCCAAACAAAATCGCAAGGATGGCTCCCGCAAGGGTAGTGGAAATTGCAAAGACTTCTCAGCTTCTGGGGGCCACCGTCTGCAATCTGGTTTGGTGTGGGTAAGAAGGTTTTTTGCTGTGAAACTTGGTTATTTCTTATTCAAGAATTTTTCGGTTTTTCCCAATCTTCATAGAAATGGCTCGAGGGCTACTTCTCCGGGTTTATCGGTATATGCCAAACAGATGGAACCCCGATTAGCCTAGTGGTGCAAATGACTTACAAACCTAGGATTGAGTGTTCTCATTTCATAAAGGACGAGCATCAGTGCCATCGTCCTGCAATACTAGACGGGGCGACGTCGGACATAGCTCTAGGGGTGTCCTCGACTTTTGTCAAACCTCGATTTTCGACGTTAAACCTCAAGGTTTGACTGGTTTGCCGAACCTTCGACCTTTCACTAAAGTTCGAAGAAGTTTGACTTATGGACAGTGTTGCCCGGCTTCTAGACAAATATTTCGAATTTTGGGAAACAAATAAAGTAGTAGTTTAGAATGTAGTTTATTTTATATTTCATAAAATGGTTACCAATGATGACACCATATAAAAAAGAAAATATGCGCTTTTAATGCTTTCGTTAGTAATGTGAACCAGTGATGTCAATATACCCAACAAATATTGCACCTTTCCTCTGCCAGATGGAGTCAACTGTTTTTTTCTTGGGTTGCCAAAGGCATGGTAGCGCTTTTTTTGGACGAGGACAAAAGAAAGACAAGACAGACACGAGCGCTGACTGCAACTATTTAATCAACATGGAAATGATTTGGAAATGGAAATTGGTCTCGGGTTGCCTTTGGCAACCCAAGACCAATACCAACTAGCCCAACATACAGCTTTGATAAAACTGTTTTTTCTTTTTTTCATTTTCGCACATGCACACAAACGTTTAACTTCAGTCGCACCTTTGTTGAACATCACGTTAAAGTTAAAAAAAAGTCTAACTTCATCAAACTCGAACCTCGGCAGGTTCAAGACATCCCTACATTGCACCTGATGTTTCCTCCTCACCTAAATACAAAGAAAAAAATAAAGGAAGCACTGCGCCAAACATTCATAATGCTAGTATAACTCTTAGAAATAGACGGAAGTGATCTCACTAACTCAAGAAAGTGGCTTTATAATCAAAAAAAGTAATATATATACAGTATATAAACGGTGTTTCTTAAGAAACATCTGCTAGCAACATATAAATAAATTACTTAATCCCAGGGTATTGAACCGAACTCAAACCGTGAACCGAAAACTGGAAAAAACTGTTATTTTCGCGCAAACCGGAGTCAACCCAGAACGAAATAATTTTTCTCGCTCTGGAGAGGAACCGATATGTTTTCCATGCGGTTTTCGGTTCATACGCAAACTCAGGTTGCGTGAAAAGTGCGTGGCGAAAAACACAGTAACCTGAAAAGTAAACCAAAAAATGAAAGAAGAAATATTTTTGAGCAAACCGGAGTTGAATTGGACCGAAATAATTGTTTTTTTTTTCGTTCCTGGGCAAAACTGGTCAATACTTTTTGCGGTATTTTGCTCATGTGGGAAGTCAAAAAGCGCCAAAAATTGGTAGCGGAAAGCTCTGTAACGCTCCAGTATCAGGTTCTCACATAACGTTCGTCTTCATAATTTATAAAGTTTGTCTCAAAAACTTAAACGAAATGAGCACAGTAACTATAAATTCTACGGGATTTCTGGTCTTATGTATTTCTTTAACTAATGCTCACATTCGTCCGAACCTTTTCTCGGGGACCGGAAATGACTTATCAAAGATAATACAACACTAGGACATACCCCAATCGTATGTCAGCAAAGGTGATTAATTATTAAGCCTGTTTGGTGGCAAAACGGTGAGTTGGGCTAGTTCGCTTTTGATCTCGGACTAAATGCAAAAAAAAGGACAGAGAGAGATATGGACACCACGCCTAGTGTTGTCTATACCTCTCTTTGTCCTTGTTTTTTCATCTTTTTTTTTTTTTTGGCATTCAGTTTAAGCTCTGCTTGGTGTTTTTGTCCTCAATTTCGTAGAGCTGCGTGCAATTTACTTTAAACGACTTGATTTCATTGTACAACTGATCGGACAAGAAAGCGATAGAAAGACCGATGGATATTTTAGAACTTGCACTAGTTGCCATACTGTGGCGCATCTAATCTACTTTCAAAATAACTTAGCGGATTTTATAATCTGTCCGAAATTAAAGCCTAGCACCGAGAAGGGGAGGGGGGATTCAATCCACAGTTACAGCTACAGAAAGCAGCAAAACAGCTTCGATCTCTGGCAGCAGAGACTGCAAGGACCAAAACGTTTTCTCCTCAGAAACACAAACATCAGGGCACACAGCTCTTCTAAGCATTGCTAGACAAGGAGCCGCAGCTTTCAAGGGACGCTAACGTGTTACAGTTTGGGGAGGAGAGAAGGAAACGCCATCCAGAACTCTACCCATTGGCGCAAGCAGCCCTGGGAGTGCCTCCGAAACAGTCGGCTTGCAGCGAGCCTTTTCTGCACTGAAGTTCATTCTATCGTCTAAGAGGTGCCGTCTTTCCCCGAATATGCCTTCTTCGCTCAGCTGCCTGACATTGAACTGCGCTTTCACCCACGTCCTATGGTGCGCGAGCACTAGGTCGTTCGATCCACACAGTAATGTAAAACTTGGCTTTCTCTATGTAACACTTTTATAAAATATGCATAGTTTATCTTTTGCTGTCGTCAATTATTTTTGTAGCATATGAGTATGAACCAGTTCAAACCGGTTTGAACCTTTATTCTTTCACTCCGGAGTTGAACCGGAGCTGAACTGTTTTCCCTCAACCGAAACGAAAACCGGAACAAAAAACATTTCGGTTCGACACCCTGCTTAATCCACAATCAAATAACTCTTTCCAAACATCTTTCACACTTCGCCTTCCGCTTCCAAAAGGTCAACCTCTGTATGTAAGACTGGTCTTATGCCATGTGCAGTCGTCCAGCAAAATGACTCATATTCTGCCACATTCTGTGATTCATGCAGGATTGGAACATGAAACACATCCAATGCAGAATATTTGCATCTGTTTGTTTCTCTTGAAAAACTTACGGTAATACTTTGCATGTCATTGTGCTAGAGGATGTGAGGCCAATATACCTGCATCTCGGCACAAATGATAAGAGGAAACGTCGGAGCAACAGGTGCCAAGGGCTTCAAAAAACTTCTATTAGCTCCGAGAAGTTCGCGTGGCGCCCCCTTACGGCGAACCGGGGTGACGTCACGGCGAGGAGAGAATTTTTCCCCGACTCGGCCCGCTCGCCCTGTGGAGGCTGTGACGACGCTAGCTGACGGCGCGCTCGTTTCTATTTAATTTTTTTGGCGTGTTTTTCGCAGGAAGTGTAAATTTTTATACGAGCCTTTATTGAGGAATGGCCCGTAGCTACAGGCGAAACTTCAACCAACATTTTAAGCATGGTTGACAGGGCAGGCGACGCATGAATTGGACTGGTATATGAAAATAAAGAAACATGGCCACAATTGCAGGAGCATTAATATAGATTTACATCTCGCACAATAAATGCTGCTGATGGTCTGAATGAATTGGCAGGTTATGTAAACTATTTTTTTTTTCTGTACCTCTGTTTTTAAACAAGATCGCCGAAGCAGGAAAGCTGCATGCTACTCGAGCAACATGTTAAATACAGTCTGGGCCATCAAGAAAGAATCACAAGTAAGACAGCCCAAGTGCGAAAAAAAAGTAAAAAAAAAAACAAAAAAAAAAACAAGGAACATTTATTATATACATTGCTTGCATTTGACCTTGCTGGATTCGGATAGTATTTCAATGGACTACACGGGTGGTATTTGTGGAATTGTTTATATCAACCCCCAAGGAATGTATAACAAACGTAAGCGAAGGTGTCTAGCTCGTTATTAGCCCCTTAAGGCCTATAATTGAGATTTTACTTAAATCAAATTGTCCTGAAGCTAAACTAATAGAAGCTTTTCTCACGCAGACTGTCGCCCTTCACAGGTTCCACATTTTCTGCTGCTAGTGCTGCATCTACCACTGGACAGACGTTCGAATACTTGCTTTTACTCCTGTTTTCCTCTAATGTCAGAGAGTCCAGCTGTAGGGAGTTTGGAGGCTGAGGAAGCTTTTGGGGACCTGCAGCAGTGTCTCTTTTAATTGGAAATGACAATTCAAACTGAACGGTGTATTTTCGGAATAGGCTGGAATAAAGAATGTCAGGAAAAAGTATAAACATTCTACATTACGGCACTATTGCCGTGCATAGTTTGGCAGTTCAATACATATCATACAGACAACTGGGGGCAATTCGGCCGTTTTTGCTGCTACCATACAAACTAATTTCCAGTAACTGTGCAGCTTCTAAGAAATATGCCTGCATATGTGTATAAACTATATATAAATTCGCAAAGAAGCTACATTTATGTAAAACAACCCTGTTCTACGAGCACTTTCAAGATCATCAGACGCACGGCCTTTAAAACATCTGCGAACCAGCGCATGCAGAGTGGCAGCGCAGAGTCAGGGTCGCAAGCTAATTTGCCGACCACCCAAAGGCCCATGATATAAATGCCACTTCAAATGCCTTGAAAGCGGGACTAATATCGTCTTAAATTATGAACGTGCAAGGAACAGAATTCCAGCGTCTAAAACGCTCGCGCCATCGCTTCACCGACCCCTCGCAAGATTGCCTTGTGTCGTGTGGACGGACGGGGAGGTTCATCGGCGGAATTGCCTCCGCCGAAAGCTTTCGGGATTTGTAACCCAATTTTAAAGGTAAAAAGGGACAAGCAGGCTTATAAAATGTACGGAAGCACGTCAATACCGGCCTAACTCAACGTCTTGCACACCAGGTAAACGAAGTCCAGCTCCTCGAAGAGCTTGCGGCACACAACGCCAAACCAGGAAACCGGTGCTGGGAGGCGAGCCGATGCGAGATCGCGGAGCGGAGTACTCCCCCTGACGTCACAGTACACCTCACCCAATCCGGGCGCGGCGACCGCAGCAACACTTGTGCTCGATCTTGGGGCTAATAGACAGCCCCAAAGGAAAAAAACTTCTTATTTTATGCCTGTGTTGAATGAGCACAACTAAAGAAGTTGTCAAGTGTTCTTGTGTTCTTCCCATAAAAAAAAACTTAGTATGAGAATTTAAGAACTCTATTTCCTGATGTTCTAGGTTTTCCTGATGACTGACACCATATGCTAACTCCAGAGTGGTTCACGCTCATACCAACGATGAACTACACCAAATTCAAACTCAAGCGCCCTTTACTTGCAATTGACCAGCAATGTATGCCAGAAACGCTTGGAAGTAACCAATTCCCTCCATTGTGATGGAACTGAAAAAAAAAGGAGAGAGAAAAAAAAGGTGTAAATAGAAATATGCAATGTCCCACTTTATATTTACTCCAGGCACCATAATCTATGAGTACCCAACTACCCAGAAAAAACAACTGCAGCCCAAAATCTGTCTTTCTTTTGCGTGAAAAGCATTGGTCAAGAATCGGGTGTTCGAGGCCACTCTAACTCTTTTCCATGGTTGCATGCCATGACTACTCTGAAGCAAAAATTAAATTCTAGGCCACCTAAGGCACATACACATAATTAAAAGTAATCAGGAAGTAGAACTCATGAAACATAATTTTTATGACAACTGAAATGCCACAAAAGAATTGTTTTAATTTGAGCTCACAGTTGTGGGGGCGACTCCCTGCGACACCCACAGAATTCAAAGTCATGGTCCCAGCTGTGGCTCTCTGGCTTTGGTTTGACTTTGTTTGCTTTTATCACCAAATATGCAAAGTCATTAATGAAGCAAGCAAAGCCAATGGTCACACCTGCATGCAAATACATAGCTGGAAGATGACGATGCCTGGAGGTTATGTGAAATAAATAAACATGTTCTAAATTTAGAAGAATATTGATAGATATTATTAATTTTATTGTGGCTGAATAAGATTCCTTCGCCACAAAGGCGCTAGTAATCCTATTTGGTATAAAATGATTAATGTGCCACAGAAGTCACAACACTGTGAGCAAGGAGGCCAAGATTGGTTTACCAAAAACAGAACATGACATAATCCTGCCTTTATCATGACACTGCATGTGGCACCATATGTGACAAACGGTTTTGATGAGTGCCAATGAGCTCAAAGGAGAAATCTCATTTACCTGACAAGGAACGGTTGAGGGAAACATAGATGGGACATAAACTTGTCTCGCAGTTGCTGAACAAACATCAGGTTCTTCAGAATTACCGCGTCACTTGCCTTATCGATCTTTGTCAGCACCAGCTGAAAAGAAAGAAGAAATGTGTCAGAAGGTTGTCAGGATTAGCACTGCTCACTGACAAGGACAGTGTATATTTTTGTGTAAGATACCATTGGGAAAATGCTATGACTGTGTATGGGCACAGATTGGGTGGAAGCATTACATCAATGTTTGGCTGGGATTCGCGTTCAATCTATGTGTCCAACGATGCTTGGCTCTAGGCTTGGGCCAATCGCTGACTTTGCACTGTGTGATTAACTTTTACGGAGCAACAAGAGAAAGTGAAAAGGCTTTTAGCAGTCAGGGGTTATTGATCTGCCGGTGAGCATGCCGGAGGATGACGGCAACATGTAATGTACGCAACTTGCCAAAACTGTACAACTGTCAAAGATGCCCAGTAAGTTGCCATGTGCAACCTAATGCTTCTATTGCGTGTACCTTCTTTTGCGAAGCAACGACAATGACTTGACACAAGTTAACAGTGCCAGTTGTGCATTCCAGACATGATGATTGCTCGATGACGCACCAAAACGATTGAGTGTTCTGCACATTTTGGTTTCGTGGCATTGCTGAACCGAAATTTGGAGCTCACAAAACAAGCCTGGAGCAAAAGGCGGGACACTGCAAAACCCTAAAACATCACTCATACAACGAATCTCTAATGGACGGCCGTATTTTTGAAAACGTGTGCAATTGAACACGGTTGACAAGACCGACAGGACATGTGACGTCACGATTCTCATTCCCCTCTCGTTACCCTCTCCTCATTGCTTCATCCCCCTCAGGAAGGGGAACCAAAGCGAGGAGGAGAGAAGCAAGGCCACTTCCCCTCATTCTCAGCTGTTCGAAGAGAATCGTGACTTCACATTCCTCGCTTGATCGCGCCCTTCTTTTCAAAAATGCGGCCATCCGTTCGAGATATCGGCATACGAGTGATGTGTTGGAGTTCGTAGCATTCCGTTCAATGCTTCTGCGGCCTTATTTTACGAAAACAAAATTTCGGTTCAGGTGAAAAAGAAGGTTATTTCCAAGTACAGTCGTCAATCAATATTTCGGACCTAAACGAGGAACTGCGACCTACCCGATAGAAATGGTGCATATTCACAACTGATGTTTTGAACAGCTTAAAGTCCGAAAGGCCATGCATCTCGCAGACCAGCGAGATTCATGGCCATGGTCACTAAGGTTTCTTGGTTTCGTAGGCGAACATCGGCCTGCGCGATGACAATGCGGAACAATATTCCCGAAGGCAGAATATCGAAATTCACGGAGTCACTCAACAACCCAACGAAAGCCTGTTAGAGGTAATTAACGACATTGCTACTAAGCTAGGCGTGCCACAACTCGCAACCACTGACGTCAAGGCTGCCCACAGGCTAAGAGCAAAGGAAAGTAGACCAGCACCCATACTGGTGAGGTTCACTGAGAGGCGCACAAGAAACGTTTGGGCAGAAAAACGAGTTAGTCTTAGGAGCGAAAACATTTACATTAATGAAAACTTAACCCGAGCAATCAAGAATTTGTTGTGGACAACAAAAACATGTGCCAGAGAAAAAAACTAGAAGTATACATGGGTAAAAAATGGAAAGATTTTTGTGAGACAGGACAAGGCTGCCGCAGTAATTCAGATTGAAAGCGAAAGAGATTTTGCCAAAATTAGATAATCATGCAGTCTTCCTTTGAGTCTTTTGAGGAATGGGATGCTTACACAAAACAGTCAATAGCAAAGGACGGTTGCGGGAATACGAAGTTAAGTTTATTACATGTAAATGTGCGAAGCATCTACAAGCATTTTGATCAGTTAATGGTGCTTTTGGAGGGCCGGCTTCCTCTCCTTGATGTGCTTATACTAACCGAGGTAAATTTACACGAGGCATCTTGTGCGTCCTTTAGCCTAACAGGTTTTCATTCCTACAATATATGCGGAGAAGGAAGAAGGGGTGGGGGAATCTTATTATACATAAATAACAACTGTTTGTCCGATAGAATTGATGTAAAATTGGATAATGCAGAAATTTGCGCGGCAGTCGTAAATAAGGATAAGTTCTCCTATGTAGTTTCTGCCGTTTACAGACCACCCAGTTCTAATTTAAACATGTTTTGTGATGAATTATCGAAGCTGCTTCCGAAATTTGATAACAATAAATATTTAGTTCTTGCAGGAGATTTTAATATTGATGTTTCGAATGAGTTAAAACCTGGAGTGTTGTGCTATCTTGACACCCTTTCTGCTTTTGGGCTTGAAAATGTTATTCAGGATTATACACGGGAAGAACATTACGGTGATAAAATAACAAAGACATGTATTGACCACATAGTTACTAGAATAAGCAACTTAAACACATTATCTGGAGTAATTAAGCAGAAGCTTGCTGATCACTATATAAAGGTTTTTTAATATTAGGGGAAGATATACTTGGAAACCCAACAGTGGAGGACCAGTATAAAACTATACTAGATAGCAATAAAATTGATAATTTTATTCAAAAGTATGATTGGAATTCTTTGCTAGTCTATGATCACCTAACAGTCTACGAAAAGCTGGTTCACCAATTTCAGGATATTTATGCAAGTGCTACTAGAAAGGTGAAATTAAGAAAAAGAAGGCCCGAAAATATTTGGATAAATCCGGAAATATTAGAATCGTGTCATCAGAAGGAGAGTCTTTGGAAGCGATGCAAGCAAAATCCTGGTGATATCATGCTTAAAAAAGAGTTCCGTGAAATACGCAACAAGGTTACAGCTATAATTTGTTTGGCGAAACGGAATTATTATGTAAACCAGTTTAAAGCTTCGACTAGAAATCCGAAAGAAACGTGGAACTTGGTTAACCAAATAATTGGCAGGAAAACTAAAAATAGTATTGATGATACGATACAAAAACATTTTAAAGAATCTAGTTCCTACAGCGAGTTAGCAGAAATGTTCAACAAAACATTTATCGATGACGTAAAAGAAATTAGAAATATACCGGCGACCAGCTTAAATGACGTTTCCCCAACATGCTGCATTAACTCAGCTTATCTTCCAGATATGACAGAAAGTGATTTGTTGCGTATCATCCACGCTATGTCAATAACAAAAACGCCAGGAATCGACAATATCCGAGTTAGAGGCATACGCTACAATTTCGATAAAGTAAAACACATTTTGCTTAAAATAGTGAATGACACACTGCATACCGGAAATATTCCTAAGGGTTTAAAAGTATCTGTGATAAGGCCGTTATACAAAAAAGGAAAGCAGCAAGAGGTCGGGAGCTACAGACCCATATCAATCCTACCATTCATGACACACATAATCGAAAAATGGGTTCAAATAGCAATGAATAATTTTTGCGACAAATTTTCCCTGATAAGCACTATGCAGTACGGCTTTCGGCAACAAAAAAGTACCATTAATCTGCTGGAGGATTTCGCTGACTGCATTACCGAAACACTCGATAAAAACAAAATAGCCCTAGCTCTTTTCATAGACCTGTCGAAGGCATTCAATACAATCGATCATTCGTTATTGTTGGAAAAATTATATAGTATGGGGTTTCGAGGTCCTTTTTATAAATTTTTTGAGAATTACTTCAAGGATAGATTCCAAATAGTTAAGATAATGAATAATCTTAGCAGCCCGGCTCAAGTCCAATTCGGGGTGCCACAAGGAAGTACTTTGGGGCCTATGTTATTTAACATTTATATGAATGGGTTAGAGTTTCTGCCCCTTCAGTCAAAAATGTTTCAATACGCAGATGACACCATATTAGTTTTACCACATGAAAAGTATGATGAGGCAATTTCTGTTTTTCAGAGAGACATTGATATGATAATTAGATGGTTTGTTGCGAATTTTATTTCTGTGATTGTTGCAAAAACAAAACTGATGTGTTTTCGAAATCCGCACAAACAGATAGTAACATCTCCAAATATTTGCTTGCACTCGGTGCAGTGTCTGGATTGTAGCTGTAAACCTTTAACATACGATAGTTCAGTTAAATATTTAGGCGTCTTTGTTGACAAACACATGCTGTGGAATGCGCAGGTGGGATGTGTTGTAAAAAAAACTACGAGTCATATTTGAGTATTTGTATAAACTCAAAAGTATGTGCAGCTTGAAGATAAGATTACTTGTGTTTAAATCTTTGGCGAAAGCTGTATTACGGTACGGTATTACACTGTACGGTCATTGTTCAGAATACAAAACACGAGCGATAGATAGGATACTAAAACACATGGTAAACAACATATCATATGGAACTTCATATCAAGTATTGGAAACTCAAGAGAAAGCTAAAGAGCTGGACATCCTGTTTTTTAAAAGCTTTTTTACATACGTAGCAATAACAAATAATTATTTCAGTAATTCCTACAAAACTGTCGTAAATAAAAATAGAGATTTGAGACGTACTGAAAGATACGTCATTCCGAAAATATACACACTGTATGGAAAGAAAAACAGAAATCATTACATTCCTTCTTTATTTAACAAACTCCCAGAGTCCCTTATGAATATAGATTCCACTAGGGTACTAAAAAGGAAACTAAGGAATTGGTGTCAAGCATCTGAGCTGTAGATATCGTAGCCTGACCGTTGGAGATATTTCATACTTTTATTTCATGGTTGCGTGAGTAGACTTGGCTATAAGCACCTATATTTCATGCTCTAACATGTTCCCTTTTTGTATTTATTTGTGTTGCTAATTTGGTGTTCCTTTCATTTTTTTTGTGCTGCGGAGTGCTTTCTTTTTGTTTGTTTGTTTGTAACATGTATTCTAGTTGGTCGCCCGGCCCCACATACAAGCAGAATGCTGCTTTTGTGGGCCAGCTCTTTATTTTGTATGACTTGATCTGAAAATAAAAATTGAATAAAAATTGAATTGAATTGAATGATGTTTCTTAAAAAATTGTTGTGGGCGATCAGCGGAAAACATCACCGAGAAGCCGCCATTTTAGATTCTGTGTTGGCTGCACATGGATTGGCTTAGTTCGGCAGTGCTGCTTGAGTACTGCTAAGTCCTACCACTAGGTGACGAATTGCAGCTTTTTTTTTTTTTTCTAGCTGCGCGTCATTATCATCATCATTGTCACCATTTTGCTTTGTTCATTCGTCATACTGTAGTCGTGGACTTGTGCCTCTCATCTTGTCTCGGTGAATCGCGTTTTCGGACTATGCTGGCTTGGACATCATGGCCCCATCTGTTCTTCTGCTGCCGCGATGTGTCACTAAGAAGCGCAAAAAATACTCGGCCATAACACTAGAAAAGAAGGCAGCAATTCTCAAGCTAATAGAAAGTGGCTGAACGCAAGTGGAGGTGTAACCTGAAGCCAGGCACTATTGACGGCCTTTTTAAGCCCACTTAGATGCAATAAAGGCAAGTTTTATAATCTGATTTTTCAGACTGCTTTATTATTCTGATTTTCTTTCGGTTCCTGCGAAGTCCGAAAAATCAGTCGGCGACTAGTCTCCATTAAACGAAACTGTTGATAGTATAACAAACACTCTTTTGTAAAACTTCAAAGTTCACAAATTAACTTGCACTAAGTTTGTCTAAATGTTAGTTCACAAAAGCTAGAAGTCATTGTTTAAGTCATCCCCTCTGCCAGTGTCAGAGGAGATGACTGGAACCACAGCATGCTGAAAACATAATCCTGGCAAACAAATCTCACTTCAGACTGGCAGGTTTGACTTTTGTTCACATCACAGGGAGGCCATCTTACCCCGTAAGGCACTTTGAGCTGTTCAAACATTTCAACGGCGTCCTGGTCAAAGTTCCGGAATCCGACGTGCCCATCCAGAACCAGGAATGTTCTCTTTAGGCTGCAACAGTTTAAAGGAAAAAAGCAACAGTTTAAAGGAACATACTTCAATCAAAAAGAATTTTCAATTGTCTTGTCATATTTATTTATTTATTTATACATACTGCGACCTCACTAAGGTCATTGCAGGAGTGAAAAATGCAGATACATGAACAAAACAAGACAGAACAACAAGATGACTTTGTATATGATTCACTGAAAACAACATGCATTAAGGGAGAGAAAGACTGATAATTGCGCTAATAAAATCAACACTAGAAAGAATATGTATCTGTCCATCAATTTTATTCCAGTCATCAATAGTTTCGAGAAAAACAAATTTTTTAAACAATTTTTATAACACTGAAATGAATTAACATTTATTGAATGAGATCATCTGGTGCACACAGTAGTAGAACATGAAAGAAGAATAAAAGCGGATGACAAAGGGAAATTGTGGCCATACCTATTAAAAATAAATATTACAGCCTTAGCTAGGATAGATTCAAGTAGATTGACATCCTTTTTTTAAATAGGGGTCCCATACATAAAGATCAATACAGGGATCTTTATGTATGGGAGCTTGGGAGCAGATAAACTCAAAATGTCTATCCCATCCAACAATGGGCGTAAAAAAAAACACACAAGTATTTAAACACACTTTGTTTAGAAGTACATTATCAATACCATAACCAAAAACAAGGGGCGATTTTTTATTAGTAAATCTCATAAATACAGTCTCACCAAAGTTTGAATTCATTTACCATTCACTACTCCAATTAAGTAAGTGCACGAAAGATTTGTTAAGTAACAGCTGATCATTAATGGATGTGATGTCATTAATATACAAAAACCAGGAGCATGGCACTTTTTTGTTTCAGACCTCATATCTCCAAATTTGTCATAATTTGTCAACAAGAGGGGCCCCTTGTATGATCTGATGAAACAATATAGAAGCAGTGCAGGAGTCTGGCAGGACCATTTGTTTTTTAAGCAGCCGCACTGGTCCTCAATCAAGCTTGGTGCTCTTGTGTCAAGCTTCACCACTTCGCAACAATGCACATGGGTAATTGCCACTTTGCACCAACGAGCTTGAGTAGGCCTAGAGCGGTAAACCAGTGGCCAAAAACGACGCCGCCCCGGTTGCCGCCATCTTGACCGCTTGCCACATTAGTGATCACGTGACTTTAAGATCGCTGCGCCCCTAGGTGCGCCAGATCAGATTTGCCAGATTACGGTAAGCAGGGCCGCGGTCCAAAATTTACTTGATCTCACTCTAGGGTAAATGTTCAGTACGTTGGCGTTCGAAAACCTACCCGCGTTCAGTTGCTTTATCAGTCTTGTCACGTGACATGATCCGCCAGAGCAATTCGGATCCATTCAAGTAAGATTGGAACGCGGCCCCAGAGGGCCCCTCTGCTTGCCGTGATTTGGACAATCTGATCTGGCCCACCTCTGGGCGCAGCCATCTTGAAGTCAAGTGATCACTAATGTGGCAAACAGGCAAGATGGCAGCAATCGGAGGGGTGCCATTTCCGCTGCAGGCCTTGGGTTGCGGTTTACTGCTCTAAGGTGATACTCAAGCTCGTTGCTTTGCACTGGCTTCTCGGAGAAGAGGCTGACACAGAGGAGCACCTAGATTGGCTCGGTGGGCTTAAACATTACATGGGGTGAGTGCTTGATATGTCTTTTGACTATATTTCAAATGTGTAAAACTAGGTGGCGGGCCCTTATTGCAATGCAAGTGATGCTCCATATTTTTGGTAAATAAGTCACTTTAAGAAAGATTCAAGGTGCATGCTACATTTAAATGTGTTAAAACTAAACGAAACAATTAACGTGCTGCAGTGGTTTTGGTGTTTTCAAAAAGACGCGCAGCCATTAGAATGTCTACAAGCTTACGAAAGAATTACAGATAGGATAGAACACGAACAGCATACCTTTTCGCCTTCAACACATATTATTTTAATTCCTGCAGGCAGCACACTCCCAAGTTTGTAGCCGATCACAAACTTGGAGGTTTGCCGACTGCAGAAATTGAAATTTTTTTGCGCGCCAGAAGATGTGCTTTTCGAGTTCTGCCGTATGTGTAATTCTTTCGTAAGTTTTAAAACCATACTATTACAATTAGCTTTTTAGACTTCTATTTCCTATTGGCTCTTGGCCCTAAGATGCAGCCAATAGAAAACCAAAACCATAGCAGTTTACTCAAAATGTTCTTCTTTTTTTCTGAATGCGAGAACATGCTGTAGTGTGATAAGCATTGTTTCCATGGAAGTTTACGATCGCAGACTGGGTAAAACACAAAGTTTTGCTCACTTCGTCCGACTTGTGAGGAACGCGCTGGCGAACGCAGAAAACTCTTTGGGCTGCCGGAAACCGTAGCCTGGCATGTCGACAAGACCAAACTTCTTCCCAACACCGTAAAAATTTAGCGTTTTTGTGTGACCCTGAAACAAAAAGTAATGCTGGGGGAACATTGAACAATATCACGAGTTTAGTGTTAACAATGGCAACTGAAGCTACTTTTCCATGAAGTACTGACAAAGTTGTGATTTAAAAAGTGTCGCGACCTCCAGGTTGACCGGGACCTTTCGGGCACCGTCGGTGTCGTGATGTCCGTCTGTAAAACAGCTCAAGTGAAATTTATTTACAGCTGAACAGGGAGGGGCTCGTCGGGGAACCTGCCCTTTTGGCTACCCTCTAACAAAAGAGTCGGGTTTTTTTATAAGAACTAGCCAAAGGCGAACAAGTGACCGAGACTCGAGTCACATTGGCAGCACGAAACAAACAAGGTACAAAGCGTCGCTCTGATGGAATGATGAACGGGCTAGAGCCTTGCATAACCGGACCCTTGGCCGAGGTCAAGGGTGCGATGGCGTGATCGTGGCAGGGTTCAGGCGGGGCGCGAATGGGCCAGAATCTCGTGAAACCTGACACCACCGGCGCAGGCCATCTGAACATAGTACAAGTCCACCACCTCGTGCGCGGCAAAGAAAAATACTACTACATCATGTACATACTGGGTGCCTCAACTGGCAGGCCAGGAGCTAGGCACACTTAGCACCGGCTGACAAAACTGTCACAATAATTTTGCTGGCTTCAGTTAAAGTCATAGCCGGCTTACAATCCTTCTTTAAAAAAGAGTTTCTTAACAAAGCAAAAGTTTAGATGTTCTATGGAGGAGGCCGGCCACCTCCGAGTATTGGGCTCAAACGCGATCTCCTTCGGCCTCCCTTAGGTGGGAACCGACGGGGAAGGTTGCAGAAGTCACACCTGACAGCTCCAGTTTTCTCCTGCCAGATCCCGGGCACGAGAAATTGAGCACCGAACACAACAGGAGGTGCATGATAGCATTACATGCCAGCACAATAAATAGGAAAAGTCTTAGTGTTGGCTTAAATATGTACGCGATGTGAGCAACAAATAATGCCGAGGTTCTTTGATAGAATATATGGCCCTCCAAGCTTTTAATGTCAATAGTGCAGCGTGGTATCCGAGCCTCAAAGCTCATGATCCGATACAGTATGACAATATATAAGGTATAAGCACAGATGAACGCATCCTAGAGTAAGTTCACTAAGAGGTTGCAGAATTTTGAAATCCAGTCTTGCATCTGATATTAGGGTGCTATAGAAGCATATCCTTATTCCCCAGCGTTGCCTCTCAAACTGCCAACTCGTAAGAAAGCCAGCCTACAAAAACACAAATATTCATTTTGAGATGTGCACAAATAAAAATTAATAAAGGTAGGGCAAACACCCAAGACGGGCTTATAAAACAAATGATGTATATTGAAAAATATATAATAAGCACACAGTCCTAAGATGTCTCATAAAGAGATGTATCACAAAATTAGACATGGCCAATATCATAAGCTAGTCAATCTTGCCATTATCTGCAATTTCATACCTTTCACAATTCGCTTAGTGCCGATTTCTCAATCTCTGGGGTACCGTATCAAAACTTTGGTGCTGACATGCCAACCCAAATGTCCTAATGGAATCAGCCCTCCTCTCAACAGTGTTTGATCGAGTGATTGATAGATTAGAAGTGTATTTATTTTAAATTTTTTTCTAGAAAAAAGAACTCTTGACAGCGGAAGAAGTACACACACCGGTTTCTTGGAGACCTTGACACATACATCCGGCACCTTGTGAAACACCGCCTGAAGCAGTGATGACTTTCCCACGTTGCTCGCTCCCAAGACAGCGACCTGTAGGTTTTACATAAAAATGAAGGGTTAACCGCTTAAATTGTTCTGGGCAAGCTTAGCTAGTCAACGCGGAGACATCTCCAAAACCTTTTGGGATGAGTATAGCTCGTCTGCTTTCCCCGGTTCACGCACGCTACCATTTTGAACAAACCAGACTCGCTGATGGCTTAATCGCTTAGTTTACGGCTGTGCCAACAGATGGTAGCACTGAATCTTTTTTAAATATTACTCTTGTTTCTGATTGTGACTAGAAATGTTATTTTGAAGGCAACAAATAACAATTTCGAAGACAACAAGCGAGCAGTTGAGGGTCACTAATTCCCAAAAAACTAAAACAGTTAAAGGCTTAATGAAATGAGACCAAAAACTTCTGCAAAAAGTGAAGTGACAGAACTCAACTTAAGGAGAGGTTCCGACAAAAGTTAGCTTTCTGTTTTCAGTGGCACAAGTGGTGCGGAGCAGGGCCGTAACCAGAGGGGGGTTAGGGGGTTCTGACCCCCTCCCCCCCGAAATTTTTTTCTGGGTACGGCCCTCGTCGGTGCACTGGCAGCCGGCCGATTTTAATCTCCACCTCTGTGCACGCGCAGTGGCGCCGGTCGGCTACCGGGTACCAAACCGGGACCGGTTCTCCGGTTTGCTGTAACTCTCCATTATATGCCACCGATGCACATGATTCATAGGCGAAAATAAGACAATAGACACTTTCAAAATGGCCGCCGTTGTCCCCGAAACCCCCCCTGAAATTTTTTTCTGGGTACGGCCCTGGTGCGGAGCATACGTGAAGCAAGAAAAAGAAAGTGACCGAATCAATATCTCAATTAATTTCTTCGAGGTTTCTTCATTTGCAAATGAGAAACAGTTGTGGAGAGGGACAAATAAGAAATTAAAACATTGGGCTATTTAAACACAGTTGGTTAGAGTACCTGCAGCCTTTTATTAATTAAATCCTTGCGAGATCTTAGAGCACAGCTGTTTTGTTCCCAGCCTCTCATCAGAAGGTGTGCCAAGCCGCATTCCTGACTGTCTGCTTTCATTACCTTTCTTTCCACATGACGGACGGAACACGCAGACACTAGCCTGCTCCAGCTTGGATGAGGACGCTCTAATGCTTTTCATCACAGGCGGCTATTGTAAATCAGTTGGTGCAACAGAAAACACAATGACAAAGACAGTGCAATAAAACTGCAAGCTGGGGTCTTCAAAATGCCTAAAACAGTAACGACTGCATGAAGGCTCCTCCATAGGCTGCTTACCCCTACCAAAAAAGGCATGTCTGTATGCACCTAGGACACTCGAGGTATGTTTGTGAACACGTCAACACTACACCAAAGGTCAGTAAACCTGTTTCCACTGACTGGTGCATGGCTCCGGCGTTACACCGCTGCATTGGCGCTGTTATAGGGTGTATTCACGTGCGGCCCGTGAAGGATAATTCCGGGTAGATCACCATCTTTGCGTTCGTGATAGCAGACGGCTGCGGCCGCACGGGCTGCTCACTCTACACAGAAAATCTTTCTCGGATTCAGGTGGCATTGCTCTTTGCAGTGCGAGTCTAAAACAAAAAAAAAGAGGAGAGGAAGGTTCCGGACTCCTGGATCTTTTCCTTGACTCCCGAGGGTAAGAACACGTGGCTGCAAAAAGAGTCGGCCACTGCCACACTCCCAGTGAGAACGCATCGATGCGAAAAATCTAGACAAGCATAGACTATATTCAAGGCATTTTGTCTCGGGTAAGTATCGGCACAGTTTGCTTTTGTTTGACACGCCGCATTAGCGGGCGAGGCCTACCTGAATGTGAGCTTCTTCCCGCAAGAGCTGCGACAAATTGGCATAGAAAGAAACCTCCGTTCACAAGCATATGGTCCGGCCGTTTCGCAGCAATCCCGAATCTTGAACCTAATATATACTTGTCGAGGCCCACGTCGACATATTTTTTTGTCAATGTGTACAATCCGTTCACACGGACAGCGACCGAGTCTTTTTGCACTTGCGTGTTCGTTCTCTCGGGAGTTAAAATAAGTTAAGAACCTGCAACCTTTCTCTTCTCTTTTTTTTTTACTGCGTCTTAAGTGCAGCAACCGACCATCACATACATCATACTCGCGCTGCTAAGAGTGGTGTCGCCCGAAACAGAAAAAGATTCACTGTGGTGCTCCTATAGACCCCTTTCAAAAAATCTGGCAACAGCGAAAATCCGCTGAACGAGTCCAACAACATTGGGCAGCCGGCGCCATTGGGAAGGACCCTGTTGCGGCCGGCATGGTTGTTTTGACTGTAGCGTTCTTGTTTCGTCGATCCCTTCGCCTCTGTATGGCTGCAGGTAGCGTTTTTCCGATCATGGGTTGGGTAAACGACCTTTCCCAGCTCCCAGCCGTTAAAGATGATGAGGTATATCGCTTCTTCAAGAGCCGATCGGACTCGGAACGACAATTCGACAGAAGTTACAACTTTCTCGTTGAGGGGTTCGTGGTCGCCGCATCTATAAAGGCCAACTACGCAAGAAAACGGTAATTACTAAGATCTTTGTAGTTACGACATCAAACATGTCATCAAAAAATGATAGGAACCGGTTATAATTTACGGGCTGTAGTTAGAAGTCGCCAGTACTCTCCGGATGTGCGACAAAACAGGCGCAGGGGTCCCGCTTCGCTGTCGCTCGGACAGTCGCGCGATGAAGCACACCGCATAAAAGCGACGAGCGAGCGACCAAGGCGATGAGCGTCGTTTTCTAGAAATCCCAAACCAAGCGACGCGACAAGCGACAGTGAAACATTTTCGTTGCTCGTAGCCGACTTTCGTCGCTTGTGCCGTCGCTTGACTCGTCGCTCATCAAATCGCGTTTTTTTACTTGGAATTAAGACCTAAAATTTCAATGCGCAAGTTAACCAGTAAAGGACGTATTCGACACAAGTTCCTACTTGATACGTCGAGTCCCTTTTTCTTGAGGGGGATTTTAGAGTTGGGAAAAGTAGAGCAGCAAATTTTGCAGTGAAGCAGAAGTTGCAAGCGCGTGCATGTTGCTTTGCATAAAGCACGCGCTGCACAGATGTCTGCGCTACAGGCAGCTTAAAGCGTCAGGTCGTATGGCTTCATGCGTACCTAACATATAATTTACATGCGCAAGTTTGAAGCACCGCGAGCTCGTGCATACCTGAAGCTAGGCGCTCGCGAAGCTGTCACGTCCACAAGCGATACCATGAGCAACATTATATTTGTATTTGACGCCTATTTCTTCAAGCTAGCTGAAACTTGAACACTCTACCTCCAAACGCAGCAAAGTGAGATTAAAAACACCTGACTCAAACACCCAAGGAAGCGTAGCGTGAAAACGGTTCGTGTTCCGTTTTTGCACTTCAGCAGGGGAACGTTTGCGCGGCTACGCCGCCGTCAACCGATAACGAGTACATTTCCGAATACGTACCTTAATGCCAGACTTGTTCAGATACCCACTCTGCTTACAGAGGGGTACGCAGCAGTACGTTGGCATCGTGGGCAGGAATTGACTAGCGTATACGGCCAACGCAGCGTATGCAGCGGCGCGCACTATCCTGCAGCATGGCGGCTGCCACTAGTTGCTGTTCCGTACGACAGGTGGCGCTTTTTTTTCTGATGGGTCTATAAACATAAGAGTAAAGCTATACACACTCCATAGTGCACTTCGGCCGGAAATGGCTTTCGCACTACGCGAAACTCGTATAAAACGAATGGTTACAACGAGCTTGCTAAGCGATGTGGTAAGGTGTCTGCTTCATACGCAAGTCGACACGGGTTCGATCCGTGGTGGGCCCACTTTTTTCCTTTTTTTTCTCGAACATATTGTTTTGTTGAGGTGCTTGGCAATATTTACATTTCTTTTTTATAATCAACACTAAAAAAAAGAAGAAACAAACCGAATGTTGTCAATGAAACTTCGCAGAACTAAATGGTATGGGACTCCCTTTCCGGAGGTGCAACCGGGGACAGCGGGGCTTGGGTTGCCGGCTGGACGCCGCGAAGCTGCGTGGACGGGTGAAGTTTTGTAAGTAGCAGCCGCACACTGTCGCCGCGAAGCGGCGTGAACGCAGACAGGGGGCGGTGGGCAAAGGCGGGGGGGTCAACGAGCTCATCAGTGAAGTGATACACGCGCCATTCGAAAAGGGTGACCCACATGGCATGAGCTCTCCGCGTAGTGCGTATAGCCCGCGTCCACTTGCGTATGAAGCCGACACCTAACCACTATGCTATGCCACTGCTAAGAAAACTCGTTTGATGCATTCATTTCATACGAGTTTCATGTAGTGCATATAGCAATTTCCGACCGAAGTACACTACGGAGTGGATATAGCTTTGCTCAAAGATAAATGAGTAAAGCTATATGCACTCCGGAGTGCGCTTCGGACGGAAATGGCTATACGCACTCCTCGGAAAGCTCATGCCGCTTGGGCCACCCTTTTCTGACGACGTGTGTATCACTGGGGAGCTCGTTAACACAGCCCCCGCTTGCGTTCACGCCGCTTCGCGGCGACAGTATGCGGCTGCTAATTACAAAACTCAACCAGTACACGCCGCTTCGCGGCGTCCAGCCGGCAACCCAAGCCCCGCTGCCCCGATCGCACCGCCGGAAAGGGGTCCCGTACCATTTAGTTCTGCGAAGTTTCGTCGACAACGAAATTTTTAGTGTTCATCGCAAAAAAGAAATGTAAATATCGCCCAATGCCTCGACAAAACAAAATGTCCGAGAAAATGAAACAAAAAAAAGTCGGCCGACCGCGGATCGAACCCGTGTCCACATGCGTACCGAAGCAGACATCTTAACCACTATGCTATGCCACCGCTTAGAAAACTGCTAGTGACCATTCTTTTTTATACGAGATTAGCGGAATGCGTATAGGCTCCTTGCACTGACGTCACATCGCACACAGTTGAACACCAAGTAAAAGGAGGAGAGGGAAGCTGCTTTTGTAAGAATTTTGAGTGACAGGTTAATTTTCTATAATCTTCTAGGAGGAGAATGGCGACGCCTGTGCAAAGCCGGGAGGCACAAAGGAGGATCCTGATAAGAGGGGAGCTCCTTCTTCCCCTCTTCTCTGGAGGGCAACGGAAATGACAAATGACGTAGGCTCCTTGCATTGACGTCACATCGCATAGTTTTGCACACCAAGAAAAAGGAGGAGAGGGAAGTTGCTTTTGTAAGAATTTTGAGTGACAGGTTAATTTTCTATAATCTTCTAGGAGGAGAATGGCGACGCCTGTGCAAAGCCGGGAGGCACAAAGGAGGATCCTGATAAGAGGGGAGCTCCTTCTTCCCCTCTTCTCTGGAGGGCAACGGAAATGACGTAGGCTCCTTGCATTGACGTCACATCGCATAGTTTTGCACACCAAGAAAAAGGAGGAGAGGGAAGTTGCTTTTGTAAGAATTTTGAGTGACAGGTTAATCTTCTATAATCTTCTGGGGGGAGAATAGCGACGTCTGTACAAATCCGGGAGGCACAAAGGAGGTCCTGATAAGAAGGGAGCTCCTTCTTCCCCTTTTCTCTGGAGGGTATCGGAAATGACGTCATGTGCAAGGAGCCTATAGCCATTTCCGTCCGAAGCGCACTCCGGAGTGCGTAGAGCTTTATTCAAGCTAAATTGCAAAAAAAAAAAAAAAAAGAACGAAAAGCAGAAGCGGCGATGTCATGTTTGCGCTAAGAGTGCCACGCAGTGTGCCTCACCTCAGGGAGATCGTGATCTGGATACTGGTGCGGGCGAACAGCCGATTTGATGAAGGAAATCGTGTGGTTCCTGTTGCTCACGAAGATGGACTCTGCCCGTTTCATTTCGTCGATGGTCGGAGCAAATGGCGCCTCGTTTTCGTCGAACAGGGGGACCTGAAGGTGCTTCTGCAGCTCATCGCATTTGTTTTTGTATTTTACGTACGTTTCATTCGCCGATCTTTTAAGCGAGAAAGCTCGGCCCGACCTCACGCTGAAAGCCATGCTTGTTTTACGCGTTATCTATGGGCGGCGCCATAATGTTACAATGTGGCCAGACGTAGGATGTTTTTCCGGCGTTTCGCTGGAGGCAACGTTGACTGGAGGTCCGCCTAGGAGGCTATACCCTCTTTTAGGCCCGTTGATTAAAACACAACAGACAGTGTAACGGGTAACTAAGCACCGAATATTCGCACATTAGCATTAAATGGATTAAATGCGACAATTTTTGGCAACTCCCCGTTTCGGTTTCGGAATGAAGATGTGTTGTTCGTAGGGTTCTTGCCCTTGTGTCAGATCACGTCAGACCATTCTTGGTGCTGCTGTGCATAAGAAAAAGAAGATCGGTGGACTAGTGTGTAAACGCATCGCAGCTCTGAGTACATGGAGCGAAAGCTCGCGCTGCAGAACCCAGGGATTCAGGGCTCAATCGCCGCCTCTATCCACTCTACCTGAATAAGGGTTATGTACGGGCGTGAGGGTCGTGTTTCACTACTGCGTGGTGCACGTTAAAGGGACACTGAAAGGGTATTTATGCTCGCCAAGGTTTCTCTTTGTACGGGACATATGAGAGCCCAACTACTCAGAACACAATTTGCGGCTTGAAAGTCATTTCCTTTCCGCCCGAAAACCGCCAATCGAGAACTGGCCGGTTTGAGTCGCACTCACTCTCTTCTCCGTGGTCACGTGCGGTTTTCTATGGTTTAGGTTTAGACACACGAGGATTGGTGGCCGGGTGGGCTAGCGCACACCAGATCGGAGCACGTGGAGCGAAAGCTCGCGCTGCAGAACCCAGGGATCCTGGGTTCAATCCTCACCCCTGCCCGTTTCAATCTGGATGAGCACCGTACCGGCGTGCGGTCGTGTATCACTACTGCGTGGTGCACGTTAAAAACCCCAGGCTAGTGGTCGTACTGTGCTGGCTAAAATTCTAATCTGCAGCGAGTGACTCGTCGCAACTTTGAAATGGCTGACGAAGTACACTCTGTCTAAATATCCACACAATTCCCCCCCCCCCCCCCCCCCCCAATCATTTTTAGAGCGCAGCTCTTAGGGGCCCGTTTCCGGCTTGAGCGGCGTCGCCGTCGGCGTCGGCGTCGCCGTCGGCGTCGGCGTCGCCGTCGCCGTCGGCGTCGGCGTAACCGCGCGGTGCATCATGGGAAATGTCCCATAATGCACCGCGCGAGCCCCCCACCAAGGTCACGTGACCTCGTGGGGGGTCACGTGACCCCCCGAAGTCACGTGACTCCCCTGAGGTCACGTGGCCCCCTCCTCGAGGTCACGTGACCCCCGCCGATGTCGCGTGACCCCCCGATGACGTCATCGTCACTGATGACGTCACCGGCATCCACATCGTCATCGTCATCATCACTGATGACGTCACCGGCATCCACATCGTCATCGTCATCATCACTGATGACGTCACCGGCATCCACATCGTCATCGTCATCACTGATGACGTCACCGGCATCCGCATCGTCATCGTCATCATCACTGATGACGTCACCGGCATCCACATCGTCATCGTCATCATCACTGATGACGTCACCAGCATCCACATCGTCATCGTCATCATCACGGATGACGTCACCGGCATCCGCATCGTCATCGTCATCATCACTGCTGACGTCACCGGCATCCACATCGTCATCGTCATCATCACTGATGACGTCACCGGCATCCACATCGTCATCGTCATCATCACTGATGACGTCACCGGCATCCACATCGTCATCGTCATCATCACTGATGACGTCACCGACATCCGCATTGTCATCGTCATCATCACTGATGACGTCATCAGTGACGTCACTGATGTCGTCACCGGCATCCGCATCGTCATCGTCATCATCACTGATGACGTCATCAGCGACGTCACTGATGACGTCACCGACATTCGCATCGTCATCGTCATCATCACTGGTGAAGTCATCAGTGACGTCACTAATGACGTCATCGGTACCCGCATTGTCATCGTCACTGATGACGTCATCAGTGACGTCAGTGATGACATCATCGGCATTGGGGGTCACGTGACCCCCAAGGTAACGTGACCCCCCCCTGGTTAGTTTAACCCCCCCCCCAGTGCCCTTCCCTCCTCCTCCTCAAGAGCTGCGCTCTAATTCGGCGTTACAGGGAGTTGTAAGCGGCTTTCATTTTTTTTAGACACAACAACCCAATATAATCAAAGTCGTGGATCATGGAAAGCACACACTCAATATTTAAAATAGAAAATAAACTTGATACCCATTTCTTGTGGCTTCTAAAAGCCGCAAGTGTGTTGATTGATGAAAAAAACTATGCGAGCAGCTATAGACCAAGTCTCGAAAGTAATTTTGTTTTGTTTTTCTGCGTGATGAACAAGACAAGCGCGGATGGCGACCCGTGCTCGTCTTGTTGACGAAACGCGGCAGTGCATGCCAGCGAAACGTCGCTGTACGTAAAGTATAAAACGTGAGTAAATGACCGTGTCATCTACGTAATGGGACGCCGAATCTTCCAGGCCAAAAGGCTTTTATTGCTGAATCGTCAAACAAATATTATAATGAAATTAATGGCCAAAGTCCATTAACCGCAGAAACATGCCGTCACTGCACCACCAATGATGCCTGAGCTCATACAGGGAAGTAATTACGGAGTAGTATGCATTACAAAATAAATTAATTGCTTCTTGTGCACTCGTAATATCAACTCTTATCGGAACTCCCAATATGCATTTTACAAACTACAAGCCCGAGAAACGATTTTTTTTTCCTGCCAAATTCTGAGGGGTTGCCACTTTATCAGAGACTGCGCTAGCTTTACCGGCGCAATAAACGCAAAAAAAAAAAAAAGTAAAAAAAAAAATTGATTACGGGCTCGAAATGTATAGATGGGTGACTGTCAGATCATGCAATGATGGTTCGGGTCATAATTTAGATATTTTTATTAAAAGTATATATGAAAGCCATGTTCCTGAGAGGAACATTCTGCTGTATATGAACGCCGTGATGTTTGTTTTCACTGAGATATAAAATAGAGAAGCTCGAGGCGTGGAAATAGAGATTTCACGATGCTAATTTGCACAGTCGTCATTTTCTCATCGAAACTTTCACGTCATCACAACTTTTTGAATAAATCTCACAAAATATATACAACACATTCACAAAACATTAATATATTAATAAAATATTCCTATGCAAGCAAAAAAAATCAAACATGGCATAAAAATGCGTTTAGGAGACATATTCAATTTTTTTTGCAAATAAACCATCTTTCATAATAATTCACCAAACATATTTAAATGCGCGTCTTTAAATATTCTTCACGAATATATAAAACTTTTATGCTCACCCTTAATTGTATTTTTGTTATTAACGCGGAAATGCAGCTGATTTCTCAAAATCTGGCAAGATTCGGCGTCGATATCTAAAAAAGTCTCCATGTTCTTTTTTCTTTTTTTTTTTTTTACTCCCCTTGGCACTTTGCAGTTACTTGAGCTAACCTGTGATGGCAAAGCATTGAGTAACATATGACCTCCGAGCGGGAAAAGCTACGACAAACCTTCACTCGGAGCGAGCCGACGTCTTCGTCATAGCGGCTTTGCCGCACAGCTCCAAACATTTTGAGCGTTAATTATGGCATACGCGTGTTATATTTTTAATTCCTTTTTTTTTTTTTCAAAAGGGGTCAGTATAACTGACGCAAAAATGGATTTTGAGCTGGAATACCATTAATTAGCTTACAATTCACAAAAATAAAACGGCCCAACCCTGAAAATTCGCTAACTATGCATACATAAGCTTAAAACTCTCAGTTGCGCAAGTGGCCATGTGATCATCCGGCTTTTTCAACGGCACTCGACAAAGTGCGGTTGGAAAAGCTACAGACTCCACGGACAGTGAACAAATCTGACCTTTTATGCCAGCATCGCTACAAGTACCCCAAAAATGAGATTGCATCTCCTCACAACGTGAGTACATCAAACTCTTCTTTCGGGACTCTGATGAAATACTGGCTAAAGTGAGTCAAGACTTGTGTACTGCTAGTCCGTCGGTAACCTTATTGAAACCATGTAAAGCCATCAAAAAGGCGCGAAGCGTATTTGAAGAAGAAACAAGCCCAAGTGAGTTCTTCGATTAGAAGAAAGCTGTCAAGCGTTTATGACGTGAAAACCGACGAAGTCAGTTGCAAGCACTGCACGGAACGGTTTGACGCGTTCTGCAAAGCGCTGAAGGCATGCAGTTCCCACCAGGAACGCAAGCGATTGTACACGCTTCTGCCACCAAGTATCCCGAAGAAAGAAATATTGCGACCGGTGCTGGAAGCGACTGCCAACATGATTGATCAAGCAAGAAAGCTGAAGCGTAAAGGTAGTGTATGGGCAACCCCTGATCCCTACATGGGGAAAAAGGCGAATGCCGAAGACGTGACGGTTGCACTTGAGTACTACACACGCGACGACCTCGCATGCTCTGTTCTAAGCCCCAACAAAAAGGACGTCGTTAAAGCCATGATCAGCAACAACAAGACCGAAGTCGTAAAAAGGTTTATGACCCGCTCTATTAAGGAAGCTTACCAGCTGTTTAGGAAGGACCATCCCCATAGAGAACTAGGCATCTCCAAATTTTATTCCCTACGACCCAAATGAGTAAAAAAGAGCACCGAGCACGAGGTGTGCGCATGCATATATTGCGTCAATTTTCAGTTGCTTTTAACGGCAACGGCAATAGCAAATGCCTCAAAGAAGACATTTACAGAAGAAAACCTCAAGCGCATCTACCTCTGCAGCGCTCCACAAAACGATTGCTTCCTGCGCCGTAGTGAAAAGTGTCCAAAAATGCAGAGCATCTTGCTGCAGTTGTTCCATCTCGGCGAAGACGAAGAGATCGGTTTCGCGTTATGGGACGCCGGCGAACTCGTCAAAAAAGTTATGGACACTTCCGCCTTCCTGCGGGAATCGGAGCCATAGCCTGATATGTGACAGAAAAACCGCCTTACCACCTAAAGCAGTGATGTTCTACTTCGATTTTGCGGAAAATTGGACAGTGTTCTTCCC